CTGCTATTTGTACCAAAGGAATTAAACGATAGATACTCGAAGAGACGCATAATGCAATGGGAATAAATGTTTGTTCACTCAATTGAAAAATTCAGTCATTTTGCAATTTTTATTAGAAATTACTCAATTTAATTGATTCAATCTTTCTCAAACGGAACACAAACGTGTGCAAATCGTTCAAAAATGGGGATAAGCTTGCAAGAAACATAGGAATTCCCAGGAAATTTTCAATTTTCAATAAAATTAATATTAAATAAAAATAATTGGGATACAGAAAGCTCTGTTGCTCAATTTTCGTCCCAAATTCAACGCATTACCGACGGTAAACGTGTAGTCTCGTTTTAAAAGTGTTTTTCATGTAATGTTTTCGATAATACAATCCACATATAGCTCCTGAAAATTTCAGCAAACTATATTTATTACAAAAATATCTATCACATCTTTAGTATACACACATGGAAGGAATTCTATATGATCATCCATTGTATAGGAAAGTTTGAACAAAAATGCCCCGTTGTTAATCTGAAAATTCGAATTTCAAATAAAATTTTGTTCCTCGTTTACAGTTGCATTTCGTTTCTTCAGTCTGCGTTAAAACACCCTCTCGTTTTACAAGTAATTTCTCTATAAACAGTTCTAATATTATCCACATGTAGCTCCCGAAAATTTCAGCAAACTATATTAATTACAAAAATATCACTATAAAATCAATCACCATATTTTAATAAAAATGCCCCATCATGTGTTAAAATATATTTCCCCAATTTCGTCGATGTTACCTAAATTTCCAATCGATTACACCATTCCCCCACCATCCTAATGTTATCAATAATCCTACGAAGATTCTTCCAGCCAGGCAATGGAACGTTCGGATACCAGAGATGATATTTTCGTCGGAAATTGGTGAAATGTTTTCCCATTTTCGCGTGTTCGTTTTTTTTTTTTCACACCGATCCAAGGTCCCAGTGGTTCTCGGTACGTCGTTCTCCCCCTCCCCGGTCCCCTCAGGCCGCGGCTTTTCTATTTACTGTTGTGATTGTGCTCGGAATTTGGAAAGACTTGGCTTCCTTCGACCTTTGCCAAAGTCTTTTTTCTCCCTCTTCGGGCCAAAGACGCCGAGGGTTCGCTTTAATCGACTCTGGAATGCGAGCGCCGTTTCTGCCAGAATTTCGCGTCGCGCGGTCGCGCGGATTTCTCGAAACTCGAGGCTGTTCCACTCTCGAGGTCGCGGTGAGAAATTTTGCGCGATAGTTTGGTTTAGTTTACGTTCATCCTTCGATCCATTTCGCGTCGATCCTCGTGCCTACCCGGTCCGTTTTTCATTGTCCGCTCCGCGAGTGTTTGCAGATCGTCCAAGAAGAATCGAGAATATCAGTCTTCTGAAATGCAAGGTAAACGTATCCTCCGGGAGCCTTCGACTTTCCCCCCATTTTCCAGAATTATAATTCACAGTGATCAGATTTTCTAGGAAAAGTTCCGTCGTGCTTCTCCGTTGGGTGAAACTTTCGATATTTTTGTGGTTCCAGGGACTCTGGGGGACTCTGGGGGGGGGGGCGTTATAGGGGGGTTCCAGAGCTTTTGTGAGAAAAATTAAGCTAGCAATTATTTATGTCGCGCCTAAGAGCGAGAAAGAAATTTCGATTTCGGTGTTCTGTTGGCGCAGTGTATCTCAACCCCAGCTCGTTCCCATCTAAAAGAGTTTATTAATTTTTATTTAATTAAAACGGAGCTTAACTTTTGGAACTTTGTTAATTTTGCTTAATTTGTGTTTTCGAGGAAGGAAGCGTATTTTTCACGAGGGTGTGGCACAAGTAAATTACTATTGTAAAATCGAAAGGCTAGGAGCATCCCCGGTGCTGTTTGCGCAGAGTTTGTTTAATTAATTCCATTTAATCGCTCCCTTCGTGGTTTCAGTGAACATTCGATTCTTTTCATAATGCTTAATATTATATAATATCGATATCTCGAAAGTCAAATGTATTAACACAATAAATTGATAATATTGTTATTGTTTACCAGTGTCCTCGCAGGAGGATGTAAATTATTTATCTTCTGAATATATCTTTGCGTTGTTGGGAACGAAGTTCACCTTTCTTCATAATACTGGGACGGTTACGAGTTTTTGATAGCAACCGGAAGATTAGATCAAATAAAGCTGAGATTTCTATGGAAAATAATTGTGTTCCTCCCCGTTTCGCAGATCGTTCAGAATTTTTTTTTCCCCCGTAAATATGTATCGATATAATTTTTCTAGATTTTTATTAGTTTATTGCACGATAAAGTTGGTCTTTCGCAGATTTGAATATTCCACGAGCCGTTAAATTATTGAGCACTCGAATGTTCTCGTAACGCGTCGCTATATATTTATTTATCCATAGTATCGGTGTAATATTTTGGTAATACTTTTCCTTGACTCATTCAGTAGTTTTTATAACTCCTTGAACGCTCGCTGGGGGACAGGAGGGGAGAAATACAGTCCCGATTGAGAAATTGTTGTAGTACGTTTGAATTTTAATACAGACAATAATCCATCGTTTGTAAGTAAATTTTAATTTAATATTAATTAGTAAGAAACTTTTCTTAGAGTTACAATCCTTGTTTTTAACCCTCAACTGGATTAATGGGACCTCCACAGATTAATTAATTAAAAATTTATATAATCCTCCATTAATTCATCGTTTTCTAAATGCTTTCAAGCAAAGTTGATTTCCATTTACCAATTTGATAAGAAACAACATCAAGTGAAATAATTCAACCGAGATTGAGAGCCCACTTAAGGGTTAATATCCAAAAGTAAAGTGAGATGTCGAATATATTGCACATTTTCCAACGTTTTCACCCAAATCTCAATTTAATTAATTTGCATTCCAAGTTTCAAGGTTTCCAATCAACTTATTACTATCGTTAATTTTACAAGCTCGAATTGCGTATCGAGAAGAAGGGGTTGCGTGGAAATTGTCGAAGTTTGAGAAACGCTGACGCAAATTCACGATTGATAGCATTACCCATTACGAAAACGCGATTTATGGTCGAAAAGACGCGTTTCCTTTCACGTCGAGCAGAGTTCAGAGGCAATTTTTATTGCACCGTGCAGTAAGTAGCAGAGTAATTGCGTTGTTGGGATTGGCGGAGGTTTTCGACGAGGGGGAGGGAAAAGCCTTCGTTCCTTTTGCAAGGGTTGTTTGTTTTCGGCCGGTTCCCGGGGTGGGGTACCGCTCGTAGAACGAAGAGAAAGACGCGTACCGAGGCTGCTTTGAATTTTATTTATGGTCGCAGTCTCACGGGGCAGAAACGGACAATAAGATTTTCGCCAGAAGTCAAAGGCGGAATCTCCCAACCCGGCCTAACGTCGACGGGGTTCGAAAGTGTGCTCCACTTGAATAAATTAGCTGGCTCGTGGGCCCCTTAACCCTGGAACCGTTCTACCTTCGACCGGGGAAATCGCCAAAACGACTGCCCTAAAAGACAAGGACGCACGATCGTTTGCAAATTCGTTCCTGGAACTGTTTCGCGAGTACCACGATCCTCCAAAGACAAAGAAATATGGTCGATCGACGTTACAGGACGACACTCTCACCAAATAATTAAAATACCAAACCCTTGCACTCCAAAAACTAATTTTAGTAAAATTAAGTGGTCACTTTAATGCATTTTTGATGAATATTCAAATTGTCCTTTTCTCCAGAGAAATTTATAAATGTTTGCAATTTTAAATTTCTTCATTTGGTTCGTTAATTAGTCTTAGTACAGATAAAGCTTAAATCCAGAGTGCAAAGGGTTAACGAACCAATTGATCGCATATCTCAAAACTTGCAAAAGAATCGTTCTGTATCCACATGTATATCTTTGTATTTCTAGATTTCTACATTTTTGTCAATATTTGTAGTAATTGGTAGATTTAAATCACCGAAATGCCAGAATCAGGTCTGGTAAATATTGAAAATTTTAATTTTAATTACGTAAATATTGAACATAAATAATCAGAGTCGATATAGCGAGTCCTGTAAAATTTTCTACGACGATTCGACGGTTCCGTTTGTTGTTCTGGTCGAATAAATTAGCCTGACCGTGTTCCCGTTCACGAAGGATTTGTTCTTGCAAGGGCGTCAAAGGCAAAAGGACGACGATGGCAACGTGGCAAACATTGTGAAGTAATTTTACCGAGAATTCGCTTTTGGAGCTCACCTTCGAGCAGGCATAAGCTATTTGTCGCCAGCCGCGGTACCCTTCTTCCTGGAAATTCGCATAAATGCCCAACCCTTTTCGACCTCATTGTGCGATCGCTTTTCACCTGTTTCTTTATCCTATTCAAATTTTGCGACGACTCGACGGTGGAATATTTCCCATCTGCTCCCCTCTCCCCCCCCACCCACCCTGCAATAGTAATTTACGATTTACTTTAGTACCCATTTGCAACTTATTTGCTGGTCGGTTTGAATTATTATCATTGGAAATTCCTTTTATAACAGTATCGGCTAACCGTATATAATGCCCGCTATAAAACGAACGATATCTCGTTTATAGTTGATTTTACGGCGAAAGTGTGTATAAAACAAAATGGCGGAAATTACATTTCGAAACTCTTTTGTTCCACAAAAAATTTTGGTTGGATCGACGGTACCCGAGATATATCACAAAATAAACGGCGAAGTTTCGGTTTAATTAGCGGCAGACAATTAAAAAATTAAATGAAAATTTGAATCTCTTTTCTACTGTACTTTAGGGCGGTATATTTAAGTAACTGACTTTATTATAAATAAAGAGAAAAATAGGGAAGTGGTGAAAAGATATCTTCTCAGGTCATTTATGGGCCATGCATTTAATATGCAAAAATATAAGAAATACTTAAAGCAAGATACGAATTATTATATTTAAGGGTAGAGACAAACTACGAATCTCTGATTTAGAATATTCAAACTCGTTTCGTAATTTCACCGAGAACAGACCGTCCATCGTTGGCTAGACAATAATATCTCTATTTCTCTAAGCAGAGTGACAAGATGCGAGGGAACTGGGACACGGCGGAGCCTCTGGTACACGCGCCAAATCAGCAGCGGCAGCAACAGCAACAGACCATCGTCGAGGAGCAAAATCATCCCCTCCATTCGCCAACCACGCCCGCTTGGAGTATCGCCGATAGAATCGTGGTGAGTAATCGCTTCAGCCCCCCACCGATCGAATCTCCTCTCGTTTCCCTTCTCGCTCCCTCGTTTAACTTATTCACCCCTCTCCGGTCCGTTTGCATCTCGCCCTCGTTCACCCCTCGCGTTACCGTCCTCTGTTTTTCATCCCCCCACGATCCTCTCTTTGTCTTTCCCATCCATCCCCTTTCGCTCTCGCGATCGACAAAATGTCGTTTCGCTCTCGGTTCGATGGACCCTTGGATGCCCTTCCTCCATAGGCTGCCTCTCGAAAACTCTACGCTTTCTCTCCTTGGCTGATTCGACAGTCTTCTTCCTCCACCAAAGGTTCACTCTCGAGTAATTTCACGTAAAAAAAATCCATCTTTACATTTTTAACATTGGTCCCTCGTAAACATTCTGGAAAACACTGTCAAACACATAGAATTTTTCTTTCTTAGTCCAGTGGCGCGAGATATCTGTAACACCTATTATATTACACTTGCACACCCTGTTAAGGGTTCAGTCTTGGGTAATTTCACGTAAAAAATATCCATCTTTACATTTTGAACATTGGTCTCTGGCAAGCATTCTGGAAAGACACTGTGGAAATTTTTTTTTACATTTGCACCCCTCCTTTGTACCTTAACCCCTTGACGTTCGATTTAATTTCAAATAATTCGATAACTTATACTATTTAATCTTGTTTAAATTTGTTCGTACAATGGCCACGAAAAAGAATTTATTTTACGATCACCTCTTGAAAAGAGTATTGATTTTAACATCTAAGACTCGATGACAAGTAGACTCATGTTTGTGAAACCTGACATCAAGAATTCGACATTGTACGAGTCAAGGGGTTATTATTCTACAAGTCTTTAGTGATTTATTTTTGCTTTTCATTCACCATTCTGACTCTATCGAATAACATTGCTTCGCAGAAGGAAGAGCCAACGGAGGACAAGAACAACGATTCAGGCGTGTCGCCCGATCATTATAACAGCAACTCGGTGTCGCCAAGGAGCAGACGTTCCTCGTCCACAGCGAACTGTAGCCTGTCACCAGGAAGCGCCACGTCGCAGGACTCGAACAACATGCAGTGCAGCACGTTCGATTACAGCCCGCAGCGGATGTTCAAGAATTGTGGCGGTTCGCCGCTTGAATTCGCGAGGCATCGTTCGATGGACGACCACCGAACGGAACAGGCCATGGACGTTGTATCCAGCACGGTGAAGCCGTCCAACGAAGATGCTGAACTCAGCCAGGACCTCTTGCAATGTCCGATCTGCACCTTCTCCTCCATGAACAGGTAAATTATCAAATCTCCACCTTTGGTAGTCCCAACGATTTATTAAAATTTTAGAAGAGAAAGGAAACATAAATCGACGCTCGAAAATCCAGAAGTCTTTGCAAGCAATGTCATCTTCAAATCTTCAGAAGAAGTTAACTTAACCCTTAAGTGGACTCTCAATCTCAACTGAATTATTTTACTTAGTGTTGATTTTTATCAAATTCGGTAAATGGAAATCAATTTTAAAGCATTTAACAAATAGTGAACTAACGGAGGATTACATAAATTTTCAAATAATTACATTTACATATATTAAATAATTATTAGTTTAAACCTGCAGAGATCCCAATGATCCACTTGAGGGTATCCATTATAGATACACATATGCATACTAATATACGACAACGATAACGTTTAGATAGCTGTCGACACACAGAAACACAACTATTCTACAGAGAACCATAAGAAAACTCATCTAAACAGTAAATGCTTCGATCTAACTAGGATCATCTGAATGCATTTATCATCCTTTCCAAAAGTCTTGCAAGCACCCAACGTCATTTTCAGATCCGAAGAATATAACTTAAATCATACAAAAGATAAAATGTCTCCATTTGTTTTCGAATAATCCAATACCAGCACGAAGAACGAAGAACCCATCGACGTAGCAAAAAATGATTAAAACCCCGGTTTTATGACGCAGGTTAACGTTCACGGAGCACCTGGCGACGCACTGCGCGACGAAATGCGAGACGCCGGATTTCACGAAGACGATACTGGACCAGTTGACGGCCTCCGGGTCGATCCAGGACGAGAGTCGATCGTCGCCCACGCAGGGCGAGCGTTCGGAGCACGAGTCCGAGGAGGCGGACGAGCCGGGTCTCCGCGTGCCCCGCGTGAACTCTCAGGGAAGAGTGAAAACTTTCAGGTGCAAGCAGTGCAACTTCGTGGCGATCACGAAGCTCGAGTTCTGGGAGCACAGTCGGGGCCACATAAAGGCGGAGAAGCTGCTCACATGCCCCAAGTGCCCGTTCGTCACCGAGTACAAGCATCACCTGGAGTACCATCTGCGCAATCACTTCGGCTCGAAGCCGTTCAAGTGCGACAAGTGCTCGTATTCGTGCGTGAACAAGTCGATGCTCAACAGCCATCTGAAGTCCCACTCGAACGTCTATCAATACAGGTGCGCGAACTGCTCGTACGCGACCAAGTACTGTCACTCGTTGAAGCTGCACTTGAGAAAGTACTCCCATCAGCCGGCGATGGTGTTGAACGCGGATGGATCGCCAAATCCGTTGCCGATCATCGACGTCTACGGGACGCGTCGGGGCCCCAAGCAAAAGTCCTTCGTCAAATCCCAGGACGACGGTTCCCCGAACGTCACTGTGCCCACCAACAACAACAACAACAACCTCCAGACTCCTCTGTCCTCCCCTCGAATGATGCCTCCTCGGATAGCACCGCCTCAGATATCTCCTCCCCAAATATCCCCTGTGAGCCACCATCTTCCCAATCCTCTGAACGGCCTGAACTGCATGAACGGAGTGCCCCAGGTGCCCTCGATGATGGCGTTCCCCTACAGCCAACTGTTCGCCAGCTTCCCCCTCGCCGCGACGCGATTCTCCGCGGACGAGAACATGCCCGAGAATCACATGGACCGCCTGAAGAGCACCGTTCTGATGGAGTACGCGAAGGCGATCGACGACGAGAGGATCAAGGACGAGTTCCCGCAGGATCTCGCGATCAGGTGCTTCGGGGCGCCCAGCATACCCACGAACGACGCGTTCAAACCGAGCGACGTCACGTCAGCTGCGTTGCCCGACCAGGAACAGTACTCTGAGACGAAGGCGACGCCGTTGGACCTCAGCAAACCGGAGCAAACCGGATGCGTCCAAGGCAGAGCGCCTGCAAGCTCCCCCAGAGCAACAGGCACGAGCAGACGCAAGGGAAGAGCCGTGAAACTCGAGCGCAGGGTCATCGAGGAGGACACGGACGACGAGTCCCAGCAACCACACGAGGAACCAGAGAGCTTCGAGCCTCCAGCAGCCAGCAGTCCAGGTTCCAGGGAGGAGAAAGATAGCAAAGATGGAGGATTGGGGGTCAGCAACGAGTTCACCTGCCAGTACTGCGAGATCGCGTTCGGAAACGTGGTGATGTACACCGTGCACATGGGCTATCACGGTTACAAGGATCCTTACACGTGCAACATGTGCGGACACCAGTGCACCGACAAGGTGTCCTTCTTCCTGCACATCGCCAGGTCGAAGCATTCGTAGCTCGTAGGGCTAGCCGTGAAACGGGTCGGTTTTGGGACACTGATGTTGACAGTGCTGGCCAAGATATTGGGAGTAGAGTTACTTTTATTAAATTCCAGAGGATTCGAGGAGAAGCAAACGTGATATCGAAGCTAGGGATCAGGGATTGTGGTTTTGTAGGTCACGAGGTATTTTTGGCGATCGGTTTCGTTGGAGAACAGTGGCGAACGAGATTCTCTGTTCGAATAACAGACGACGAACGAGATTAACATTTAGCGATCTGCTCGCTATTTGATCGGTTCCGTTGAATTTTATTCCGGAAAATGTACTTTCGTTTTACAATTGAACTTGTAAGTTTTATCGGAGTAACGGGTTTGGGGTATCTTTTATTCGTTGTTCGAAAGTTTTACCGCGTATCGGGAATCTTGTTCGTCTTCGAATACGCCATCTTGAAACGCCATCTTGGGTGCGCGCGCATGACCGATCGCTTGAAATCAAGTGTCGATACTCTTGAGCGTTCGAAGCAATTTTGTATCAAACTAGCATTCGATAATTTTCTTTGACACTCTGTTGCTTTTGAAAATTAAAGAGACAAACGATAGTATTGAATTTAGTAAATACTTGTATTGTAATCGATACGCTGGGACGATGAGTGTTACAAAAAACAAAATTGTTTGATTCGTGCACAAGAAAATTTCAGTTTCCATGTTATATATGTAAATATCCCAGTGTACATATTCATTGAAGTATTAATTAAATACAATATCGATAACAAATTTATTTTCAACTTTGAAAGAGTATTGGTACTACTTTTTTCTTTTTCCTTACGAACTTGTTAAAAGGTCTACGGTACTTTTGATACAAAAAGCTGAGCTCCGTATAAGTGAAAGTTTTGCTTACACTTAACCGGGTTAATGCCTTCCAAAACTTAACAATCGATATTCTGTGATCCCTAGCTTCGGTAATTCGAGCTCTGTCGCCACGAGAACTTTGTTAAGGAGTTGCACCTGTCTGTCCTAGTTGGATCCTTCGAATCCTCGCAGAAGAGAAAGGGTGGTTGCTAGAATCGACGAGGAACGTCCGTGGAAACGTTCCTGTCGCTTATCAAATACCTCGAACACATGTACAAATTAGTGCTTAGGCGTGCGGATGAAAATTGGTACTATTCATATACAGATTATATTATATTTTTCATAGTGATCGAGATTCTGGTATCGAAGAATCTCGATCGGACGTCCAGGCGTGCATTGTCGGAATCGAGAATCGAAATTGTGTCAATCAGAGCTCCTGGACAGCCTGCTCGAGAACCCAATAAAATGTCCCAGTCGAGCCAACGATATTTTTTATACAATTTTCTATATATATACATGTAAATATACGTATTTATATTATATAATAGAAAAGAAGGGCGACGATCATTTTACTCGGTTTCGAGCGTTCGAGCGGCTCGTGTCAGGAGCAAGCTTTGTTTCTTTATAGGGGATTCTCGGTTCCACGGCAATTCGGTGGATCTATCGTCGAGCGATCGTTGAATACAAACGATAGATTAGGTTGTAAGTTACGCGTAGTAACATTTGGAAGTTGCACGACACGGTTCGCGACCGACGAGATCAGGGGGCGGGGACACGAGAAATAGAGATTAAAAATCGCCGAGAGGATCGAACGAACGCGTTGGCGGAACTAAATTTCTCGATTCTAGTCAAAAATATACCGAGTGGGTGTCTTGGTGTGCAATCTGAAGGGAACAGCAGCGCGTAATTGGAATTCGCGTTGGGCTGTGCGCGAGGATTTTCGAAATTCCCCCCTTTCGTTTTTCTCCAACTTTCTTTTCCGAACAGTCGATTTTCGCGAAGCTTCGACAGATTCTTAGCTTTCTCCGAGTTGACGATATCGATGATTTTTTCTTTCTTTTATTTTGCTTTTTTCTTTCGTTTTATTTCTCCAGAATGGATTTTACGCGACAGTCGAGTCGTTTTAGTTTCGTTTTACGGTATATACCTTCTTTTTTTTTTGCTTTTTTCCCCCTCGTGTTCGGAGAGGACACGCTGACGAGAAGCGAGCGCGAATTTAACTTCGTTTACCTTCTTTGCGTTAAAAAACGGTTTGCTCTTTACTATTGACAATCTATCTTATTCGGTTCACCGTTTACTTCGAGTTCTTTTTTTTTTTAAAGACTGATCGACGCGTCGAGGGGGGGGGATTTGTCTGTCGGGGATCATAGGAAGAGTACATCGTAAGATAATATTTTTTTAACGCCCGAGAGATTCTCTGTTCCTACCAAAAAAAAAATATAGAAAAAATCCTTCGATGATGGTCGACGCAAAGGACCGTTTCTTTTTGTTTTTTTTTTCCTCCCGAGAATTGTTTTTCTTTTCCGGATCGTTTCACAGATCAACGTCCGCGTTTCTGTCGCGCAGAACGTACTTAAGACTGAGAAGAAAAAAGTCTGAGAGTTTCGTTCGCGAACGTAAGGCTCGATGAGGACCAGCGACTCTTTGCACCACGATCGTACGTTGCAGACGTTTTCGATTGGGAAAACAATGGAAATTTGTACGATCGTCGCGTGAAAAAGTCGCTCGTCCACGTTGGTCGATCGCACGAAATTATTCCCTGCTGGTATTCATATACTTATTTTTTTTTCTTTTAATTTTTTAGTTACCCCACAGCGTGCGTTTTCGTTCTTTGGATGCAGTTTCACATCCAAGCTGATCTTTCGTTTATTTTTTTTTCAATTCGTTGTTGCGTATGCAGATCGTGCGAATCGACCAAGAAATTCTGGGTTCCTAGCTTAGTGTAATTTAGTATAAGGCAATGTAAGATTTTCGACATTCCTCCTGCTATGTATATGTAATCATAAAATACATAAATTATTTATCTAACTCGATCGTCTTTTAAAATTTTGAATCAACTGTCCCTCGTTTAAACAATCATATTTAAAGTACGAATCGATATTGAGCTCTGAAGTTACGAGACTACGAACACCTTTAACTTTCGGTCGATTTTCGATATCGAAAAGTCTCGTAACCGACTCGAATCGACGATTTTGACGAGCTTTGAGTAAAGAAAGATCGTTTGAAGCGTACAGAGACGAAATATGGAGTCTTTGGAAGAAATGGAAACCGTCTGGACGCCGGATCTGGTGGGTCCCATTTTCAAAAGGCATACGATTACGTTAAGGGAGGTTAGTTGTTCTATTGTTTACGAATATTCAGATTTCACGAGTTCGCTAGACTTTAGTTGCACTTTGTTAGGTGTTGAAAGCTCATCGGGACGACAAGAGTACGAAATCGATGGCTACCTTTATCCCGGACGAGCTGATCTACGAGCCAGACCTGACCAGAAAGAACTTTCGCAAATTCAACGCTGTGCTGGCTCTGATCGACGTCTCGCGGCTCTTCGACCTCTACGAGAAGTACAACAGCGCTGAAAATGGTGGCAGCTACGCTCTGGTCGCTCTGTTGAACAGCTACATCGGCGTGATAATCGAGGGGGTGTACAACAGCTACGGAGACGTCTTGAAGATCTCGCGTACGTGATATAATCAACGTTTATCAAGTTCTTGATTTCAAGTTTCGCTATCATGAGGCTACTCACTCTAGATCAAGTCTTATATATTAACACATTTTTGCATGAGATATTCATGAAGCAAAGTGTTTTTCCTAGCCATTGTACGAACAAATTTAAACAAGATTAAATAGTATAATTATTCGAAATTAAATTGTACTTCAAGGGGTTAAAAAATCTTCGATGTAATCCTTGAACGTCTCGTTTGAGAGTATTCTAAATGTTCGAATGTATAGTGAACCGTTTAAATCGATTAGGGGACGTGCTGTTGGTGATGTGGAAGGCGAACACCGAAGACTTCTTCGCCAGGATGGTGTACGACGTGATTTTACACGCGCAGGTAATCCAGGCGAGAGTCGCGACCATGAAGGGGAAAATAGTTGCTCCATCAGGTACGACAGCAAGCTTTTAAGATATTTTCATTCAACGATAGGAAAAATTCCACTTACATTCAATGTTTATACTCGTTCACGAATTAAAACAGGAGATTCTTTTAGGCGAAAAAATATTTCACGCATAAATGATTTAATTTAATTGTTAAAAATCACTTTTAAACGTGAATGAGAATAGTAAGTTGATCGTTCGAGTGTCTTTTAGTGGATATCGTGCTCTCGGCTGGCGAGATGACATTTTCCGTGATCGGCGACGACAACGCGAGGCATTTCGTGATCACTGGATCGCCGATCGAGGATCTGAAGCGCGCCAGGAGGATCTGTCTACCAGGGGACCTCGTCTTGTCTTCCAGCGCGTGGGAGCACTGTGCTCCCAGCCAATACGAGTACGTCATCAAGGATTCTGACAACGTCAAGGTAAGAATAATTCCAAATTATTCGAAAAATTCACGAGTTTTGTTCTCTCAGATTTATTTCACTCGACGTCAAAGTATTCGTTTAGTTCCTCGAAAAGTCGTCAATATCTTAGCAACGTCCAAACAAAATTTAATCAGAACGATACAAATTTTGAGTTTCGTTCCAAGTTCGTAAAATTAAAAAGCTTTTGTGCTTACTTTTCTGAGTCGTCCTTACTTCCAAGTCCTTTTCTTGGCTCGTGACAGATAATCAAGGTCCTTGGTCCACCGGTGGAGCCCGAGAAACCAAACAAAGTCTCGTTTATGGCGAGTTTGACGTCCGACCGTATGTCCAGCGTGGATTACGAAACGCATTCCGACATCATATCGACGATCTCTGATATCTCTATGTACTCCGATATGGATTTAGCGTCCTTCCGAGGTAATCGTTCGCCTTCCACGTTATGTAATTTACTCGAAAGAGGCTGAGAATCAAACCTGGTGAACTCTCCAGCCAGAGTATCCGTGTTCGACGCGTTGAAAAGGCGTCTGGGCGCCAGCCTGAAGACTTACATGATGAAATTGGTATTTAAACAGGTAACAGTCTTCAAAATTTTCATTGAACTTGTCTGACGAAGTCTTTGTTTTACAGATCCACGAGGGTGCATCGTTGAACTACCTGACGGAAGTGAAGAGAGTCACGGTTGTCGTTGTCAACGTGCTTCCGAGCAAGTGTTCCACCTACGAGTTTATTTCTCTGGTCGATCAACTCTTCAGGATACTCCAGCGGTGATCGTCTTAGCCTCAAAATATCTGATTTTTTTTGGACCATTTCTCGACCAAGGTAGTTGGTGAAATTATTGATATTCCGTGGCAGCATAATCGCAGAATATTCTGGCCAGATCAGCGTAACGAGTGTCTACGACAAGGACATTCTGTTCCACGTTTTGTACGGGATCGAGGGATACAGCGAACGAAAGAGCAACATGAACAGGGCGAAACGCGGAATTTTGTCCGCGTCGAGGATCATGGAAGAGATGAAACGCATCATTGGGGTCAAAGCAGTATTCGTAGGCGTTTCGACCGGTGATTTTCTGGTTTTTAATTTTGTTTAGATGCATTTTTGTCAAAGGCCATCGTCGAGGAGTAGTTAAATTCCTGTATCATTAACAGTTTTAAACCTTGTTTCACTCCTTTAACACTAAACCTACCTGCACTTCATGTACACCCATTCTTAGTAAGGCTGATCAAATGACTTTCTTTTTTCTCTTTCACGAGGCAACGGAATTCTAATTTTTGCATTATATGTATAGAAAGTTGTGTTTTAAAGTTTATTCGTAAGATATCCCTTTATATCGCATATTTTTTCTTAAAGCATTGAATTCTAAGCACCTGCACAAAAATATTCAATACTTTTACTCTAAACGTGCATTAGTACTTCAATAGTATTAATAAATTAGTAATTTTCCTTGAAAACAAATTTTCTTTCAATTCGATACCGTAGTCAGTTCCAGAGAAAGCAATTATTTACGAAAAAATGGCATAGTAATTATGCAAACACCCTGTATACAAATTTAATTTAATCTTCAATTAAATGAACAATTTATGATCCAGTTTTATGGCACACCAGTCGTATGATCAATAGGAAATGCCAAAACTACTTTGGGTATGTAGCGTCAAAGTAAATGTGAAAATAAACATGGAAGACAGCAAAAATTATAGTAGCTGGTAGAGTCATTGGATAGAGGATGAAATGCCCTTTAAAATGAGCGTTTGTGCGAGTCGATAGCTTTATTAGTTCCGGAGATATAGCGATTTTAGTTTCGAGTCGATGCGGTGGCTAGTTTCGGAGTTACAAGGGTCCGAGGCGTTTGTTTACGTCGCGAGATGAATGAACTCACGTGACCGTAGTAAATAGTAAACGTGACGTCATTCATCACTCGGTCAGTGGGTCAACGTGCGACAAGGAGGTCCCACGCGACGCGTTAGACGGAGACAGCGATAGTCGAATTAAGAAAAATTACCATTTACATAAATTACGATATCTCCGAAACGGAAAGTCCGATCGACAAAAACCAAAAGCCATTTTAAAGGGAAGGCCTTGCCGCTTCTAACAATGCCTTAATAATTAATAAAACACTAGTAGTTTCGGAACTGCGCGCGTCCAAAGTTTTAATATTTTTAATACGCGTTAATAGACGTTTCTAAGGCGGCGAGAGCGTGGATAGTGGAATTTAAAAAATACCTCTTTACATAAATTACGATATCTCCGAAACGGAAAGTCCGATCGACAAAAACCAAAAGCCATTTTGAAGGGGAGGCCTTACCGCCTCTAACGGTGGCTCAATTTTGGATAAAGCACTAGTAGTTTCAGCACTGCACGCGTCTAAAGTTTTTAGTATTTTTAATACGAGTTAATAGGCTTCTCTAAGACGGAGAGTGGAATTTACATATTTTTCTTAGATAACAAACAATAAGAATAGAAATGTGGTGAAGTTAAATGGCGCTGAAATGTCATTCTATGTTAGTAACTCTAAACAAAATTTTAAAAACGTCGTGGTAGGTTTAGTGTTAAAACATTTTTAAGTCTACGTAAAAAATACTTGCCTAACAAATAATTCTTTCTCGATCCTCGTTAGATTACAATTTTTAGTTTCGAATTTCCTCAGGTATAGCATTTTGCGGGGTGATTGGCCACCCTTCCAGAAGACAGTACATGATCTTTGGCACGCCCATCGACAGAGCCACTTCGTTGATGATGATTTCCTTCGGAAAAGTTTGTTAAAGCATTCGATGAACGTTATTTATCAGCGAGCTATCGACGTTTCTTTTGAACCCTTTAGCAGATCTCCTGCGATTACGACACGGTTTTCTACAGTCGTTTGAGCAGGGAAAAGTTCCGTTCGCGAGGCATGAAGACGCTGAAAGGATTCGGGAAATATTACGTTTACGAAATCCTCGAAACCTATCCGTAAGATTCTAAGTTAAGGATCTAGGATTAAATTTTGTATTTTTCAATGTTGCAACAATTTTCGTATCACACTTTTCGAGTTATGTGCTTCCAAAAAGAAAATTGAAAATTTCTCTATAAGTAGCCAGCAGGGGCAAATAGAATTCCAAGCATTTGATCCTTTTTCCAAAAATCTAGATCGTCGGAGGAATTCCTGCACGTCGAGTACATCTACCCCATACTCGGTCGATTTCAAGAAGTGGAATACTTCAAGGACGTCCTGGACGACATCGGTGTGCACGAACGAAGCTATTCAGGGATACTGATCGAGGTTCGATCTTCGATTCCTCTATCTTCTAAGTCCATCGTCTCGATCCGTGATCGATCGTTCAGGGCCAAGAGAGATCGGGCAAGTCGAGACTGCTCGACGCGTTCGTCACGATCGTTCGAAACAGGCAGATCAAGTTGGTCCAGCTTCCCTTGCACGTGTCCTTCGTGGAAAAGGAGTACGCCGTGCTCTACTACGTGCTCCTTCAGGCAAATAAAAATCCTAGTCCTTCGAGTATTCTAATTCTGACGCTATGAGAGATCTTTGTCGTTTCAGATGTTCGACGCGATGGATTGCACAACGATCGACGATCGCGAGAGGGTTCTGCTGAACAAGCTGACCGACATCTTGGCTCCGGACGATTTCTGTTACCTGAACTTGATCATGAGAGTACAGTTTCCACTCTCGAGGGAGTACTGCAGGGACAGCGACTGGAAACGTCACAGAAAGACCATCAAGATCTTCGGTGACATTTTAACCCAGGTCTGGGTCCTATCGATCAAATTTAAGGGGCCATTCTGGACTTAGAATTACAAAACAGAAGCTCGATTGCGCTTTCGTTGTCTAGAATCGATGCTAAAATTTTTTTTAGGGCAGTTCAACACTAGATCGACTTAGATCGTCCTACTTCAGGGTCTAGACTATTTGATATGATGTTCAAAAATTATTCAGGAATAAATATATTTCTATTTAATGTTTGTAAATATTTACCCAGGTCGCAGGACACGTTTGCATCCTCTTGGACGACGTGCAATACATGGACGTGCTGTCCTGGCAGTTTCTGTCCGCTGCTCTGGACAAGGACAACGTGGTCCTGGTGATGACGCTGCTGGAACCAGTGTCCTGGGACAATCTGTCGCAGGTGGAGGCGGGAATCTGCGAGGACAAGAGGCTGATGAACAGGGCCCTCCTAGGACTCGGTTCCGAATACCTGTCGGCGTTTGCTTGCCAGTTTCTGAACGTCTCAGCGATCCCCAGGACATTCGAAACGTGAGCAACTTCAGATTTCTATACTTTTTAGATTATTTTCAATTTCATTCAATTTTCAATACTCCAAATCTGTTTTGGACGCGAAATTAACATGGAAGAAACTAGGGTAATTATTTACTTTAGGGACCTCAACTCCGATTTTGATGATTTTGAAATATGTTAAAGAAATTGAGATTCTGAACTAATGGGTGATTCTAGAGGCTAAAATAAGACGAAAATCAAGAATACCAATTTGTTGATGGAGGCTTCGTTAAAAAGTTATTAACGTTTAAAGTTCCGCCCGTAGTGAATTTTTTTCTCGAAAATGCGCTAGATTTCGGGTGTATGTCTATTCATAAAAAATGGTTGTAATCGAGCCCTGCAACTAAAAATATTTTTTCTAGAACGATTTGAAAAAATTTTTTTTTTCCGAAAAATGTAGGCACACCCCTGTCGATTTTTCTTAAAAATTCGTTTGTGATTTTTAATAATTTTGTTTATCGCCCTACAGAAAAGTTGTCTAGTACTTTTTTGTAGCTGCCCATCAGCTCTACTTCAGATAACAGTTTCATTGAAATATATTCACTATTGCAGGAGTTATGGCTGTTTGAATATTGGACCATTTTTATGAGGTTTTTCTAAATTTACGGGGTCAAGGAACAACTTTTTCAATATTTTTAAAATTTCTACACATTCTTCACGAAAATACGCGTTGTTTGCCGTTTGAAACATTAAAATCCTCCAATCCGTTCAGAAGTTATGACATTTTTAAGATGCACATGAAATTTCAGGGCAGCATTTCTGGCCTCACATTAGATTTTTGGTGAGGAATTTTTTTCTCGAGAATGCGTAAGATTTCGAGGGTATGTGTAATAACCAAAAATGATTGTAATTGACCCCCGCAACCGAAAATAATTTTTCCAGAACGATTTGAAATTTCTTTTTTCCGTCGTAAAATTTCACACCTTCTCGAATTTTTTTCTCAAAAATGCGTAGGATTTCGGGGGTATGTCTATTGACCAAAAATGATTGTAATTGACCCCGGAAACCGAAAATAATTTTTGCAGAACGATTTGAAATTTTTCTTTTCGTCGTAAAATTTCACACCTGCTCGAATTTTTTTCTCGAAAATGCGTAAGATTTCGGGGGTATGTCTGTTCACCAAAAATGATTGTAATCGATTTCTGCAACCGAAAATAATTTTTCCAAAACGATTTGAAATTTTTGGTTTCGTCGTAAAATTTCACACCTTCTCGAATTTTTTTCTAGAAAGTGGGTAGGATTTCGGGGGTATGTCTATTGACCAAAAATGATTGCAATTGACCTCTTTAACCGAAAATAATTTTTCCAGAACGATTTGAAAGTTTTGAATTTAATTGTTAATAACTATTTAACGAAGCCTCCATCAACAAATTAGTATTCTTGATTTTCTTCTTATTTTGGCCTCTAGAATCCCCTATTAAATTTAATTTTCTGTAACATATTTCTAAATCATCAAAATCGGAGTTGAGGTTTCCTAAAGTAAACAATCACCGAAACTGGATAAAGTTCCTTTTATTTAGTATCCTTCGACGACGGAGCAGGAACTCCATCAGCTGGTGCGAGGCGTTCCTGATGTCCGCGTTGCAGACGGAAGCCATAACCTTCCTCACTCTTTCGCCGATGGAAGTGAAGTTCTACAACCTTGTTTTTCCCGATTGTTCGCTCCTGGCGAAGATACCGGCGGACATGACGCCCGAGGAGCTGGCTCCGCCGTTGCACTGGTCGCAGATGAGCGCCATAAACGTGTGCGTGCCCTCCGGGAGGCCGTTAGGCTTCCTCGAGTCCGATCGCGACGTCACAGGTAACGTCGAGAAACAAATTAAAATCATCGGTAAACGAAACATATTTTCTCGATGGTTCACGAGCGTGTTTCTCGGACGACACAGGCTTGAGGATCGACATCTACAATAGAATGAACTCCTACGAGCAGGATTTCATAAAGTGTGCCGCGTCGTTGGGCACGGTTTTCCTTCGAAGCATGCTAGAAAGCGTGATGACCAACTTTGCGCCACTGTACACTGCCAAAGGAAAGTACTGGGAATGAAGTGTTGGCTGCCCAAGGTCGTCGATCGATTCCCCCCTCCACCACACTGTGCAGCCACTCTCTTTTCTTTCGAACATTGAAAACAGTAAACAAACGTCCAGATTTGTTCGAAAAATTGTTCATCGTTCGTTAACCCTTAAGTGGATTATTGGGGTTCCTCACAAGTTTAAACTAATATTTGTTTAATATAGTTCAATGTAATTATTTGAGAATTTATGAAGTCCTGCATTAGTTTATTATTTTTTAAATGCTTCAAACGAAAGTTGATTTACCAAGTTGGTAAAAATCAACATTAAGTAAAACAATCTAGTTGAGATTGAGAGTCCACTTAAGTAATGCTTATTACATCGTGGAAAGATTGGTAGTGGGGGGACGACCTTGAGCGACCAATAATTCTAGTCGCGAGTCCGCGGCGACGGGTGCAATTAGTGCACCAGTCCTCGTCGTTCCAGCAGCCGTGGCAGAGATGTTAAGACTGAGGATCCTGGAGTGTGGCATGATCCAGAGGAACCACTTTCACATAGACGACTCGTTGTACTACTTGTTCAAGAGGCGGAGAACCTTCAGCAACGTGCACCATTCGGTGATCTGCGAGTGTCGACCCCCACGTTAGTCGATATTTATTTGATACAACCAGTTGGACAATTTTTTTAATCTTCTATCGGGTTCCTGTTTGAGACAGGAGCATGAAAATAATTTTCAAAATTCCTCTACGATGGAGTACAGTTGCACAGAATGAGTATTTATGGGAAATTTTAATCCTCAAAGAACTACAGAATGCATTTAATATGCAAATTATAAGAAATACGAATTATTATATTTAGGGGTTGAGACAGCCCTCTGCGAAGCTTCCGTTCCATTAATTCTATTAATAAAAATGCGAATTTGCATAAAGATCCGCAGACTAGTAATGAGCAATTAAAAGATCGTTACGAAAATGTATCGAACGAACGAACTAATTAAATTCTACGAATAAAAAGGGGGATGAAACGAATTTTTAAAAGAGTACAGAGACAACAATGAGAAAGATCTTTGCGCTGTTTTGTCTAAGGCATCTTTGGGAGCAGAACGTTGCCCTTGAACGCGCATTGTATGCTTCTGGAATTCACGATAGCTTCTTACCGGAAGCTCCTATACGACATATTGCCACCCCACGAGAAGAAAGAGTACCATTCGAAGGCTGCTGCGATCTTCCAGAGGGACGCCAGGAAGTGTACCACTTGCGGCAGCGACAACTTCCTGTCGATTTTCACGAAAGAATCGACAACTCCACCACCGCCTGTGAGCTACTTTTTAAACACGATAATTAGCGTGAAATTGGGGGAGCAATTAAAAAATTGAAAACTCGGGAACAGAGAAGGATGGATTCTAAATGTTAATTCCATCGATTGTTGAAGTTGTACCACGTGAAATAGTCTGATTTTATAGTTTTTATTAACACTTTACCGACCGATAGCCTATTAATCGACTGTTTTACCGGCCAACGCTTACCGACCGATAGCCTATTAATCAACTGTGTTATCGGTAGACGTTTACCGACCGATAGCCGATTAATCAACCGCTACCGGTCGGTAAAGTGTTAACGTAGAAATATACAGGGTGTTCGACTAACTTTTGGGACAAATTTTAATGGCAGATTTTAGAAAAAAATCGAGAATATCAATTTGTTGATGCTTCGTTAAAAAGTTATTAACGTTTAAAATACACAAGTGTCGATAACATCTAGTAGAAATATTTGTAATATGCAAAATGGAGGAATATGTGAAACCAATTGGATTATAATACTCGTTGCTAGAAGTATAAAATAAGTAGAAAAGTTAAGTCAACGTAGAGGATCGTTCTCGAAATGTTTTTTGTTTTCATATTGCAAGAAAGTCAAAGCCCCACCATCGGCGATTAGCCTCTCGTTGCAGAGACGAGCAACGATACACAGTCGTTCCGATTTATGGGAATCTAGACGAAGCATATTTCTCCCGGAAAACATGGATCCTCCAAAGAAACGAGACAGCATAAATTTTCGTAGAACTTCTATTCTACCAGTTTACACCGACAACGACGATGACGACGGTGAGGGAACACTTCTCAACACCTTGATCAACAGAATTTTCTAAAAAATTGTTAACTTTACCGCGTTAAATCGATCGAATTCCGTTCGTCAGATCATACAGTCAACTCTGAACACGCGAAACAAGCCTCGGATAGTTCAGAGACAACAGAGGACGTTTCTTGGGAGATCCAACTGAAGAACTTCAACCACATAGATTATCGAAACTGTCGATGCAGCTACACCATAAGCTTCCTCTTCTGGACTCTAAACCGTCACATCAGGCTCACCAGTAACAAATTACTAAACTCTCACCTTTTGCACTTTCATCGTTAAACACGTTTCTCCGTAGACGATCTTGAGGAACTGTTGAAGTTCATGCTGGAGTACAGCGCTGGACTGCTCCATACAGCCCAGCCAGCTTTCGCCACGAAGTTTCTCGCGAACACCAACGCTCACATCGAGATCACGAAGATCAAGGAGCACATAATCACGGACGTAAAGTACACGATCGCCAACAAAGGAAGCATCTTCGTTCTTTTGGGTAATCGAATTTTCACCCGATACGTCGAGGATTGGATAAAAGTTTTTGTTGGAATTTTTATCTCGATCAGGGGACGCTTACGTCGCGTACGGATACTATTCGCAGGCGAAAAAGTACTATACCGAGGCGTCAGCGTTGAGAACCGTCCCTCTGCAAACTGCCAAGGAGGTCTGTTACAGCACCATGATGGAAAAATTGCGATACATGCTAAGAGGATTCTCCAGTTACGTTGTGAATCAAGTGTCCGGCAAGATGGCCGTCGAGAAGTTGGAACTGGCCGTCTACATGCAGCGATTGTCCACAGTTTTATTGGTATAATTGCAATTAATCACTAACACATTAAATATTAAACGACGGGGGCTTCGAGTTCATCTGGTCAAGATTAATATTGATTTTTCAACCCCATTCTTTAACCCTCTGCACTCCTACGTCGAATGTGACTCGACATCAGTTTTTATCTCAGGAACTCCTTTGTCGAGTTCCGGTCGACATTTTTTCAAGTCCAAATCAAAGAGATATACACTTGAAAATTACAAAATACAATAATTTTTAATTAACGTAAATTTCAAATAAAACACTTAAGACTTTACCGACCGGTAACGGTTGATAAATCGGCTATCGGTCGGTAAGCGTTGGCCGGTAAAACAGTTGATTGATAGGCTCTCAGCCGGTAAGAGTTGGTCGGTAAAACAGTCGATTAATAGGCTATCGGTCGGTAATGTGTTAAAAGCATTGGGAGCAGCTGGTAACAAGATTGAAATATAATTTGGAGTGCAAAGGGTTAAGTATATCTTTTCGTCCATTCTCGATCGATGTGCCTGTCTTAAGATCGTTAATTGTTGAGACAACGATGGTCCACAGCTGGAGGATCAACCAAAAATCGCGAGATTGATAGCACTGCAGGGTCTTCGAGCCGCGTTCCAATGCGTCGCGGGATTCGTGGAGAAAGGAAGGATCTACGTGATCGCGGCGAAGATATTCCGCCGTTACGGGAACTTCGATCTGCTGTACGATCTTGAGTGGCCGATGACGATGGCCATCGAGGAGAAAACCAGCTGGGATTCCGCGGAAGAGCTCACCGTGCTGGCGGAAGTCTATCAGACCCTGTACGAGAACAGGTGACCATGAAACTTAATTATTACGCCAATAAATCCATCAAAATATTGTTTCAAAAGGAACACTTTTCGGTATTTTATTTCTAGATTTACTGAATCAATTTTTCAGACTGTACACTCGAAGTTAGGGAATTTCTAAATATTATTTGCTGACAATTTACATTGAACTGAACCCATCAATTTTTTATTAATTTCAGACTGTGCACTCGAAGTTAGAGAATTTCTAAATTTTATTTGCTTATTTACATTGAATTTGATTAACCCCTCGTCGTACAATGACGAGTCTGACTCGTTCCAAGTTCTACTCACTCGTCACGAAGTCTCATATATTAAAATCAACACATTTCTACATTTACGAAGTATTCATGAAACAAATTTATTCTTTTTCGTGGCCATTGTAAAAGCAAATTTAAACAAAATTAAATAGTACACGTTTTAAAAATGACATTAAATGGTACGTCAAGGGGTTAACGATGCATAAAGATATGTTCTTCACGAGTGTGTCACTTAAAGAGTGCTGAGAGGCAAATTGGAGGAGGGTATCGAGATCGGGATCAAGCTGCTCAAGATATGCAACTGTCTACGCATCAACAGAATGAAATTCGCTGTACTTCCGTCTCTGATAGAAGTCTTGGTAAAGAATTTCTTCTTCCATGATGTTGCAGCGTTCCATACACGGTTTACTTTAGGTCTGGACCAAACACCTCAACGAGGCTGTCGATCTGCTGAGGGAACTGTACTATTGCTCCAAGGAGGACGTAGACAAGTCTGCCATCACCTGGTATTACGCCCTGTCGTTGGAATTGCTCCTGGACGCTGGAATGGTCTTGGAATCCTACGACACCTGCCTCGCGTTTCACTCCAAAGTCACCGGTGAGCTTCCAATTTATTCGCCATCATCCGATCGTTCGATTAAAAATTAAATTAATCTCTTCGAGGATACCCATATACGTACCTTTAGTATTTAAATTACTTTGAATATTAATACATCATATTCATAGTTAAATGCAATGATGTCACGTGGCAGAATCTTGAGAAAATTGATGGACTCCGTGGGTGAATTTGCATTTTTCTTTATTGGGAATAAAATTATTTGACCTTGAAGAAGTTAACCCTTTGCACTCCAAGAGTCTTTATCAACCCTGTGACTACTACTTCCAAAAATAAAAAATATTCTTTTTCTCACAAAACTATAAATAATTTCAATTTTATTCCTATGTTTCCTCAACTCAATTTGTGTTATTATAAATGAAATTTGAATCGAGCCATGATACGTATTATGTTTACCAGGTGCAAAGGGTTAATAAAATATTTCCATCAAATTAGTCAGAATGGTTCTAGTTTGGTCCACTTTCTCAGGTTCCAGACGAAGAGCCTGCGTTTCACGAGACCCCGAAAGTCTGATGCGTCTGACAACCTGTCTGGGTATCTGGCAACTGAGAATGTGAGAACACCACTGTCCAGTTCTTGGCCACTTATATTTATCCATAAACTTGCGTTTAGGAACGTACCAGTCATCGATGACTTCATACTGGACGTAAAAGTGTTCACGAAAAACATCCATCGCGCCAAGTTCTCGCAAATTTACAATTGCGTCAAGGTACTGGGCCCCAAAAATTGAAACAATTTCAAACTGTCTGTGTTCTTTTCATCGTTTCTCTTCGAAGAGTCTCGAGAGCTACCTGCTGATACTGAATCGTCGAATCAATATCAAACAGTCCAGCGATCTGATCGATCGAGTGCAGGACGTGAAGACTATCATCGGGGCCCTACGAGATCTAAGAACCGACGCGTTGTTCGTCATGCCATTTTTGTACCTGATGCGATGCTACATGAGCCTGCAGAGAAGTCGTACGATCACGTCGCGAATTTTCATGAAAAAGTCGAGGAAATGGTCCTCGTACCAAGGCAACCAGATGATGCTGGCTTGGATCATGCAAATCAAAAGGGTACGATATCGTATATTGCTTCTCCAGGTTCAGAAATTCAGACGATATTCAAATATTTTGTAGTCCATACGAAATTAGAGGGGATTTAAATCATCGTTTCTCCCTTCTCGTAATTGTTTAAAAAATACAAGTTCCTCAAGTTTACAAATTTTATCTTTTATTGTCTGGGTTAGGTTCAGAAATTTAGACGATATTCAAATATTTTATAATCCATACGAGATTAGGTGGGGTTTAAGTCATCGTTTCCCCTTTCTCGTAATTGTTTAAAAAATACAAGTTCCTCAAGTTTACAAATTTTATCTTTTATTGTCTGGGTTAGGTCTGGGTTAGGTTCAGAAATTCAGACGATATTCAAATATTTAGTAATCTACGAAATTAGAGGGGGTTTAAGTCATCGTTTCTCCCTTCTCGTAATTGTTTAAAAAATACAAGTTCTCCAAGTTTGCATTTTTTATCTTTTCTGTTCCATCAAGAGGAATCTTCGTAAATTTTTCTGGGATCGTAGAAACGACTTTTACCACGCAAAAATATTTTTATTTTGCAAACTTGACCCTTGATTCAAAAGAAAAAATTTCGATTTGTGCAAAATGAGAATTATTTTAGAATTCCTGCGTTGTAAAACAAGATCGATGATTTCCTGTTTGCAGACCTGGACCGGAAATTACAACAACATGGCGCGGTATTGGACCGAGCACGTGGGCGCCGCGGACGCGATTCAATGGCAGGAAATTCACAATTTCGATCTGGATACTTGGTCCACGATCATGTTCCCGCTTCCGATTCCGGTTTCCAGCATCTAACGGAAGTCTGTGAACGCATTTGACGCGTAGTCGACGAGGTAAGTATAAATCGTTGCCTCTTCTTTAAAAAACTAGATACAATTGATTTTAGACTAACCATCGAAACGTTACTATTATTTATTACTGTAAATATGTTTTCAAGCTTAGAAGTTGCGAGGGAACGTAAGAAGAGAGGCTCGACTGTTGATTTCGCGTCGGAATTGGGGTTGTAAATAACAGGGGGTAGGAATTGTAGCGAAATATTTATTGATTAAAGGCGTGTTACAGTTTCAGGTTCTAAAAGGTATACACGACGATCCCCTCGTATGCACGACAGTTCGTTAAAATGAACGTGCACGTTCTCTCGGTTCGTTCCTCCTCTTCAAGGCGACTTCCGGCGCCCTTTGAACAGCTCGACGAGTCGAATAAGATCCCTGGACACGTTCATAATCTTTGTCTTGCCGTACCAGCAGTTTTAATACAGTGACACTCGGAAATTCTTGCTGAAACCGCTGATCCAGGACTGTTATTCCGCTCGTCGAGCTGCGAACTCCATTTTTTTTTTAAGGAAACCTCTCGCGACCGACGATTCCAGTTGCTTTCGCGCGCCCGACGTTGACGTTTATGAATTATGATTTACAGTGTAGTTAATTGACCTAACGGATTCGACCGAGTACGCCAAGGACACTCGAGGCGAAGGAAGGTGGGGGAGGACGAAAGGATCGGAGGAAGGCAAGGAAACCGAGGAAAATCGCGACGAAACGATCGATTGATCCTTCTTCTAACTCGACTCGTAGTCGTTTCCAACTATTTTGTGACGGTGAAAGGACCGATAAAGGATGGACTCCCGATTGGTCTTGTGCCTTTGTTATAAAACGTAATGTTTGTTCGATCCGGCAAAATAGTTGAAAATTACTGCGTTAAATATCTTCGTTTCCAAGGGGTAGTTTGGTCCAGAGACTTTAAAAGTAAGCTTTTTTAGCGCGTTGATTTTGAAAATGGTGTTAAAACTATCGATTTCAAACTTTGTACCTTTGCATAAGCCCAGAGTATGCGTAGAGATTTATTTTTCCAAATATTAACGATTATTTCTTTTCAAATTGTACATTATTTTGTCGTACAATGTATAAAAAATAGTTGTTCTCTTTAATTTCGATTCGAAGTCCCCTGACGCGTTAATCGTAATTATAAAACGCGAAGAACGTTCGTGTTGATCGTATCGCGCGTCAAACAGGATTTCCTATCGCCAGCGAACGTGTGGATTGGTCGATTAACGCGTTTACGTCGCGTCGATTACCGGCGATGTCATTTTGGAGCATCGTTAATTAATCTTTAATTTGAACTTGATTATAAATATCGTGAAGTTAACGAGATCACAGCTGCTACGATCAACCCTCTGTTTCAGTGGACGGTTCTTCGAGAAGTTCAATTTTTAATTTGAATACTCAATTTTACCAATTAATACTTAATATTATACAAAGTGTATTTAAATATATAAAAATAGTTGAGAGTTGGTTCTTCTTTCGAGAAATGATATAAAATTTCCAATAGAGGGTCAACCTATCAATTTTATAATAAAAATGTTACACCGATGTACTGAGAAAAATTTTGTAAATTCATGAAATCTTTCAGATGTAGTTTTTACTGTATATTTTTATCAGACGTTGAAAATCTTGCTTGACGGCGAATGCGTTGGGTTATTTAACCTAATCCATCGTCTCGATAGAACGTAGCCGTCAATTATCGACGTACATTAATATAATATACGCCCGTGACGGCGTTGAACGTAAAACATTTACCTTCCGTTTGCCAAAGAAACGACGCAGAGCTTCGAAACGACCGCCCATCGTGCCCCCAGCGTGTCCTTACTCGCCTAAAGGAGATATTTCCTATCAGCGTCAGACGCGCGCATCTAATCTACCGCGGGGAGATATTAGTCCTGAAAGGAATCGTGAGTCGCGTAGGTTAGAACTCTAGAAAAGAATTTCTAATTCTACCTAGAAAACATTAAAAATAGAACAAAACATAAACTCTTTTAGGAGGATAAAAATTCAAATTTAAATTGTGCAATTTAGCAATCAATGGGACTCGTTGACCGATAAAAATATTATTCCCGTTAAAGTGAGTGATTTATTATTCAAGAAGTCGATCTATAAACTCAATTCTCATTCAATATTCGAATACTCAATCACTCAAACGGTATTGGAATCGCAAAAGTATTCGAAGATTCGAATACCGGAGATCTCATATTATTATTAAATACGTCGTTGGTCCATAAATCGAATTCTTTAAGCTCGTCCTTCTTTCATAAACTCCACTTTCGTTTAATATTCGAATACTCAACCATTCGAACGGTATTCAAATACTCAACGAGACAAGAAGTACTGGAATCGCTAAAGTATTCAAAAATTCGAATACCGGAGGTTCCATAATATTATTAAACAGGTGGTGGCCCGTAAATCAAACTCTTTAAGCTCGTCGTTCTTCTATAAACTCAATTTTCATTCAATATTCGAATACTCGATCAAGCGGTATCCAAGCACTCAACGACTCGAACGGTATTCGAATACTCGATCAAGCGGTATTCAAGTACTCAACCATTCGAACGGTATTCGAATACTCGATCGAGTGGTATTCAAGTACTCAACGACTCGAACGGTATTCAAATTCCACTTACCGAGTATTGGACAAAGTATCCAGAAATTCGAATACAGAACAATTTGAACCTAGACAACCGCGTGCGACGTTAAGAGGAAACGACGCTTAAAAGACACGATCGGTTGACGGTCGTTTCGTCGCGAGCCGTTCGTTCGATCGCGGGAAAAGAGAAAGGGTGGACATGTTCGAGTTTGATGTTTCATTGGCGTACTCGGCCCGGTACGAACGGGTTCGTCGGACGCGGTCGGCGGAGAGAAATTTGTGACAGGATTTTGACCGAATGGTTAGGTGTAGAAACGTGTTTCGTTCCCCCCCGGTGGCGCTTAACTCTTCTCGGCTGGCTGGTCCTCGATCGCACGGAACAACGACGGTCCCCGTTCATTCGTGCGCGTCGACGTCGTTGTCGATGCGACTGCTACGTATACCGGTCTTGCCCGTCCACGGGTAGATGTCCGGACACGTCTGACAGGTCTTCATATACCTCACGCCGCTCTTGTGCCAGAGATTGCAGACCTTCGGGTTGTTGCACTTCTTCGGCCGATCCTGCACCCACACCAACAATTATTACATTCGTTGCACGGTAATCCCTCGATACTACTCATTTTAAAATTAATTTATATTATCGCGACATCCTAACGAGAGTATAACCAATGGATAGTCGAGGTCTTCCCGGTGAAAACGTACCCAAACACGACCTAGTTCGGACTATCTTCAATTATATGGAATTTGACAATTTATCAACTTTTTTTATTAACAAAATCTGTTTGATTCATGGATTAGGCTCTCTCCGTGAAGATAGATTGAGAAATTTAATATTTTTATTCCCCCATCGCTGGTTGGAGGCCGACTTTTGGGGCACGTTGTTATATCGAGGTAGAAATCTATCGTTATATCAAGGAATCGTGTTTTCTCGGGTATTTCTGGTCGAATTCGAATTCTGCGACATATTTTAACTCGACTGGAGCGATAAAGCTCAGGATGACGCTGGTCGAGAGGCCTACTTATACCGTATGTTGTTATATCGAGGTAGAAGTCTATCGTTATATCAAGGAATCGCGTTTTCTCGATCATTTCTGCCCAAATTCGAATTCTTTGACATACTCGAACCTCGCTGGAGACGTCCAGGTAAAAACTAGGCTAAATTGAAATGTCTTTCACGGTTCACGTACCGGGTAGTTGCATCCGAAGGGCTCGAACGTGTGCATCAGTGGTAACGGCGTGGGGTTCCTGACCCACTGTATTGCCTGCCAGTTCGTCACGATCCAGACGTCGTCCATCGCGACTATGGTGTCGAGGAACGAAATGAAACCTTCCTTGTGATGAGGCTGGGTGAACCAGGCGGCGTGGTAGAACAGCCCGAACGGTGCTCTGCAAGTAGTATCGGTATCGAGCGATGAAAAATATATACTTCGATCGTTCGTTAGCAGACTGTCGGATCTATGACGAACCTGTTGGTGGTGTAATGTCTCTCGAAGTTCTTGATGAGCATCTTGTAGACGCCATCGGCCGTTGGGGGGTTGCTGCACGCGTCTCCCATCGAACATCTGCCGCCGTTCAGGTCTTGCCACATCACCATAGGAACTTCCCACAGGCCGGGATAGGACCTGGTGGGGCACGGGGGGATCATGCAGTCATGGAAGAGCTTGTAGTCGAGGGTGTAGGGCCAGCTAGGGGGTCGGTTCTCGTAGATAGGCATCGACGAGTCGTACGTGAAGTTCGTGTCCCACAACATCTTGAACATGTTGTTGCCCCCAACCTGACGACAAATACCATCGAGTTTTTAACAGATTCCCTCGATATGAGTTATATTTCCTTGTATGGTGAACTTTACCGATAGGAAAGGAGCTCTCATTCCCCTGACGTCCTCCAGCTTGACGCCTCCGTAGGCTGAGAGGATCTCGCGTTGTCCAGCTACTTCTCGCGCCCACTTTCGCTGAGAGAACTGCTCACCGAAGCTGTGCCTGTTCGTGACGATCCGTTAGTACCGTCGATCGATAGATCATTCGGGGATCAAGCGTTCCGCGGGGCCCAGAGTCCAAGAAATTGAATTTTTAACGAATCGTGGGATTTTTAAATGGAGCCTACTCAAATATTTAAGCATTCAGATACCAGTATTCAAATATTTCAGTATTCCAGTATTATTATTTGAGAGTGGAATTTTTTTATTTGATTTTAAGTTACGTATTCGAATTGTAATCGTCGAATAGGTCTCCAATAATGGCGGAAGTGGTTTGTACAGCCATAAAGTAAAGGTGGAGATGATTGTGTCTGACGGAGGACAGTTTGACTCGCGACAATGGGTCTTAATTGAGGCTTTGGAACCGGTTCCTCGACCCACGTGACCCTTCCTTGCACTCTGGCCCGCAGCAAGGTGCGAAAGCGGCTCCCGACTGAATAAGCGGCTGGTGCCTTTGATCGGTCCCGACTAGTCAAGCTGGCATTAGTTTACTAATTAATTGATCGGCATAATGACAGAGCGTGAACGACTATGATTCGCCGTTAATTAAGCGACGCGAGATTGCCCGATGGTGGAATGATACCGTGATTAATGATCGAGAAGAGACGACGGGCGCGGTTACCAAAATGGTCGGGTCAGCTTCCTGTTTTCGATCGCTCGATACGCTTCTCCGTCGATGTTCAAATATTAAATCGTCCCAGGAGTCTCTGCGAAAGGATACAACTCTATTCTCCGCGTAGACATTTACTGAAGCTTGTTGCTAAACGAGAAACCGGTCGAGGATGACAATCCACCATTTTTTATTCGCGGAATTCACAGGTATTCAGTTGAAATCAACGGGGATAATAATTACAAATTTAAAAATGTTACAACCACGGTAACAAAATAAGAGACTTCGTTTCTGAAAAGTTTTGCCCAAAATTGCAATACCCATTTATTTCATTTGTAAACTACTATTCGTTCTTATCGTCAAATTTTCTCTATTAAATTCAAGAAAAGAGATTTCAGAAAGTGATACGAATTTAGTATTCCATTTGGGCAAATTTTATTCCTAATACAAATTTTAAGTTTTCGTTTAGAATTTAAAAATTCTTATTAACCCAATTTTGCTTACAACCAATTACTATAGAAATGTAAGGATGTTCCAATGCCGAGGGGGTGGGTTAATTGAATTGTTCGAATGAGCTATCGAGCGCAGAGACTCCTGGTCCAACCTGATAGATCCATCGTCACGAAAAGGGGATCCGAATCAGAGTTCTGTCAGTGGGTACTTACGAAACCGTGTGGGAGGCAATCTCATGGCCGGCGGCATAGAGATTTTGGACCTGGCTGTAGTCGGTCCACTCGTGGGAGACGTAGAACGTCGCCGAAATGGGACAGCCGTTCGGGTTTTTCCGTCCCTTCTCGAACAGGTCGGCGTAGAGACCCTTGTTCAGGTCGTTCACCGAATCGTCGAACGTCAGGAGTACGATCTGCGGTATCTCCTCCGGCAGGTAGTCACCTGTTTCAAGATCGTTTCCGGATCGTGGGGGACGGGATCGTGGATCGTTCGCGCGGGACGTGGTTCCGATTTTCGTCGTGTTTGTTTTTGTATTTTGTATATCGTGTATCGAATCAAGATCAAAGACGTTCGAATGGAAGATCGACAGAGTAGTTTTTTCGCGAATGAATATCAAAGTTAAAAATTTTCGATCGAACAGTTTGTTTGCAAGTGTTTCCCGGCGGTCGAATCGCGCGTGACAGAGTGGTGGTTGGTGGTGCGTGATGGGAATATGCGACGGGATGACCAAGTGATGCGAACAGAGAGTGAAAGAGAGAGAGAAAGAGAGAGAGAGAGAGATAAAAGAGAAAAGTTTGCGTTAGCGTGTCATTAGTATACGGCACAGGTGCGCCTCGCCGGTGAAACTGCCTCGCGACCCGTGTCATCGTTCATCTCTCGATCGACGAGCCAGTTTCACCAGCCTGGCGGTTGCAATTTTAATTTTATCGCGATTCCCCCCTCCCACCCCTCCTCTAATCCCCGAGGATCCTCTAATTGCAACGTCCGTGTACGGCCCGGAACGGAAACGGAGCAATTTGTTCCGGAAAGCCTGGCACGTTTCGAACGCTTCGACGCGCGTCGATGAAAGACGCCTCGTCGCGACGATAGCATCGATGGAACAATGTACGAGGCCGGGATCTTACTTGCAGATCACTTTGATCCTCTTTCAAATGTTGGAAAGTTCCATTACGAACGTTGACTCTTTTTGGATCAGAATATCAAGTAATAGACTCTGATGTTGATAGCAAATCAAATCACAGACACGTCGATGCATATATTATTAAATTACAAGTAGTCTCGGTCTTGTTTCGACCCGCCTTTCTGCCAGCATCGAAGTTGCTTAGAAATTAAAGGATCCTCGAAGGGACGAAGCGTTCCCTAGTCCTTCTCCGGAGGAAGGAGATCGCACACACAGAGGCGACAGCGGAAAATTGTGCGTCCAGAGAGAGAGAGAGAAAGAGAAAACATTAGTCGAAGAGAGGCGCAGGCGATGACGTTCGATTACCTAGCATTTGCACGTATTTCGACGTACAGTAATCTCTGCAGAACCGAATCAACTAAAACCGCAAAACTCGTATATTTTTCACTGTATCGCCGCGAGAATGTCACCAACGTACTCGTCGTGCCCTCCCGATGAAAACGAGTACCCACACGACCACGTTCCGACCACTTTTATTCCCGCAGGATTGCCACCTTTCGAAAAATAATTCGGGTTTCGATAAAAGTGGTCCGAACATAGTCGTGTTTGGGCTCATTTTCATCGGGGGAACCTCGTCGATTCGTCGATAGTGCTCTCGCGAGGATACTAACGAGTACATCTTTGGGGGGATACTTTCGTTTCAGTTATACGGGAGATTACTGTAACGGGAGAACCTGCGGTCTCTTGAACTTACGAGACAGTGTGCGATGCCATCTCGTGGCCGTCCGCGTACAGGTTTTGCACCTGGCTATAATCGGTCCACTCGTGCGAGACATAGAACGTGGCCGTGATCGGGCACCCGTTCGGATTCTTACGGCCGTTCTCGAACAGATCGAAGTACAACTGTTTGTTTAGATCGTTCACGGCGTCGTCAAACGTCAGCAGAACGATCTGCGGCGTCTGTTCCGCCGGTATTCCACCTGGATACACGATATCGTTACGAATCGATCGACTTATCGCGCGTTCGACCCTCGAATCGGCGATCCTTCCTTGTCGCTCATAAAACGCGTACTCGAGCTCCCTTGACGGAGATTTTTACTCAACGGTGATTGTGATTTGTATAATTCGGAACAGATATCCCTAGATTTGCAAATCTCGTATAAACCAAAGGGTGAAAATCCCATTTAACGAACACTCATTTATTACTATTTTTCACGTTATATTTTCGGAGATATCAAAGTTATATTCGTTTCTTTACATCGTACTGTACGATATGTTTTAATAATATGACTTTGACCATCCTCGAAACATTTCTTCGGAATTATACAAACCAGAAACTATTTCAGAAGCAATTTTTGGGTGGTCTTTGGGGGGAATCGGTTTCCCAGTGTATTCCAGGATATTTCAGGGTTAAAAGCAACCCTCTCCCGGACGCAAATCATCCCGCGACACCGCGGGTTTCCGATATCATCGCGATTTAATCCGAAAAGCAGGATCCGTTGGCCGGAAAAGAAACGCCGTGTGATCCATTGCTCAATTAAAAACGAAACGTGGGCAGAGGGACACCGCGACGCCGGTAGATCCTTCCGGATGATTTACGCGTGGTGTGCGGTTGCACAATCCTTTCTAGACGCAGGAACAGTCGGTTAAGGCCGTTTTAATGGCTTACGTGCATACCGCTCGCCCGCGGGAAATATTATTACCGTGACTCGAGAGCTCGGTTCATTCTAACAATACGCGAGCACGGTGTTACACGGCTAGACCATACGTTTGTTTTCTCTGTACCCGGCACGTCAAACACGTGGCTCGATCCATTACATTTCGCTTGACCTTTTCCTTACTTTCCATTTTATTCGATCTTTTCATTACTTTTTTTCTTTATTCGACGGTCTATCGATCTCGTGCTATCTACGATCGAGGCTGCACAGAGTGTCTGCACGATTCTTGATTTTAAATCAGGAATAATACAATTATTGCTTGCATTAGTATCACATTTAGAAAACTTTCGGGGTCCAATCGCTCTTTTGTAATTTTACAATTTATTAGGAGTAATAATTGTTTGCAAATCAATGGGGGGTTTTTTATCCTGCGAATAAATAAATAAATTGCCTGTTTCAGGCTTCTCCAAATGTTTGTAGAGTCATTTGTGCCTTGTTAATTGTATCTTAATTTCAAAAGCGTAAGGTTAGCGAATGCACGCAATTACTATTGCTAATTTAATTAGCGAATGTGTACCTCGATATTCCCGGTTGACATTCGCCAGCGAAAGTGTACTTTCACTGCTCGTCGTAATCGACTGTTATTCGCGTTGAATATTCATTCAAGTTCATATTCAGGGTTGCCGTAATAATTATGATTTAATTATCACCGTACGGAGAGAGATGGCCGACCTTTGGTAGTTTTCATTATCCACGGAGAACAGAATCGAACCGAGATCCATTAGAGAAAGTAAACCGAATCCAATCGATGGTAACGCGCGTTAATTCGATCATATCCACGGCACGGAGTTACACGATCGATTACATAATCTCTATTATTATTTACGACAGTACGTCGTTTAAAAGGTTAATACTACACGGAATTCTCGGAATTAGAATATGTACATAATTGCAACAGAACTTATTTATGTTACAGCCTAATAGTGAAGGGGAAACATACTGGAGAGTGAATCGCTATTAAATGCTTTACAAACGAACGTGCATTTAATACCAACGTTCGTCGGTTAGACTTAAAGACATATTGAAACTTTCTCACTTGATCAAACTCGACAGCCTAAATTATATTTCAACGATAAGAGATTAGGTTATCATGACATCCTAATGAGAGTATAATCAATCGATAGTCGAGGTTCTCCCGGTGAAAACGAACCCAAACACGACCTAGTTCGGATTATTTGCAATTATATGGAATTTGACAATTTGTCAACTTTTTTTTATTAACAAAATCTGTTTGATTTATGGATTAGGCTCTCTCCGTGAAGATATATTGAGAAATTTAATATTTGTATTCCGTCATAGCTAGTCGAGGGGTCGATTTTTGGGGGATGTTGTTATATCGAGGTAGAAATCTATCGTTATATCAAGGAATCGCGTTTTTTTGAGCATTTCTGGTCGAATTTCGATTCTGCGACATATTTTAACTTGACTGGAGCAATCAAGCTCAGGATGACGCTGGTCGAGAGGCCTACTTGTACCGTATGTTGTTATATCGAGGTAGAAATCTATCGTTATATCAAGGAAACGCGTTTTCTCGAGCATTTCTGGCCAAATTCGAATTCTGTGACATATATTAACCTGACCTGAGTGATCGAGCTCAGAATAACGCTGGTCGAGAGGCCTACTTATACCGCACGTTGTTATATCGAGGTAGAAATCTATCGTTATATCAAGGAATCGCGTTTTGTTGAGCATTTCTGGCTAAATTCGAATTCTGTGACATATATTAACCCGACCTGAGTGATTAAGCTCAGAATAACGCTGGTCGAGAGGCCTACGTATACGACACGTTGTTTATAACATACAGGACGTTATAAAAATGAAAACTCTACATTTCGAGCCAGTTTGTGCATTTCGAAGCTACTTCACTTGCCAGAATGCTCCATATAACAATAAAAAAAGGTTTGGAATTATTCGAATTCGAGATTCTCCGGGTGTCCCATATTTTTTAAGTCTGCGAAAGATTCGTCTGGAACGGAGGGAATACGAATCGAAAGCAAAGTTTGGGGCGGTTAGCGATTCCGGTCGCGGCCGAGCTTTCGATTTCAAAGAGTGCACGCGCGTGCAGAATCGCGACCGGACGCACGACGGGGTCTGTTTCACTTTCGAGCGGCGTGCACGACGGTTATGTGTAACGTTAGAATCGGGAGAAAGTCACGGTGGCTGGCTAAACCGATCGGCCAAACTTAACATTCGCCGCGCGTTCGACGCTTGCGTCACACAGTCCTGCCCACGTCGTGTTGTTTTCGACGATATCGATCCGGCCGTTTCCGCGTGCCGTCGATCGACTCGCGTGTCTCTGGACACACTCGATGGAACAAGTACCAGCGATCCCCGTGAAAATGGCAACGTGCCAGCAAAGAGGCGTCCTTGACTGCGGACCGCCAAGAATTTCAGGGTTTGCCTCGCGAATGGACGTATCCCAAGCACTAGGAATTTCTCCGATATCCAAACACACCACGATCTACTCAAATATTTGTCCAAGCAGTAGTGTGTCCTAAGCATGGTCTGACGGAGACACACGGAAAAATGAATTCTTCAAATTTACCATAAAACGAACGTGAAAGGTTTACGAGAGGTTTGATCGATCTAGGGGAATTTTGCGGAAGAAAACGAATAATAAACGTGGTATAAATATTTTTCGTACGTTGGCTCGTGCTTGAGATAATCGAGTGCAAAGTTGGCTGGCGCGTCTGCCCGCTACTCGCTGTTTCTACTTCCTGAGAGGTCCAATTTCCCTCGATTTTCGTGATAAAGGAAGTAGTAGTGGGAGAAATTTTATTTTTGGGGGGTTATTCTATATATTGGGAAGTATATAATGGGAAAGAAGTTGAGTATTTTGATGGATTTCTTGAATCTGACTACGAATACGCCGCCATAATGGAAGGGCGGTCTTTTCTTTGTTCGAATCAGTACACGGGATATTCCATTGCGATCGGAGCAAGTTAACGTCGAAAATACAGAGATAATTTGAATTTTAATTAAAATAAGTCGAGAGAATGAGAGATCGCTGAGTTTGTTCCATCGACCACGCGGTAGGAGGTGAATTATTACGGAAGATGGCCACGTGTGCTCTTACCTGGAATGTCTGAGCCGCCGCAGCTGCAGTCAGGAATCAAGCAGACGTCCCTGCGACACTTGGCCGCGGGTTTGTCGACCTGTGGGGTCGGATATATCGCCGACGGCCTCGTCGGCGGGTACCTGTAGATGTCGATGAACTCCTGCGCCTTCGACACTATTTCCGTGGACGGTTTCAAGGTTGGTCTCGATCTCCTAAAACCCGAAATCGACGATCTCAACGAACCAATAACAAGGAAAACGACACGAGATCCCAGAAAGCAAACTAAAAGTGATTTTTAAGTTAACTTTTGGGCACTATTTCCCTGAACGGTTTCAAAGTTGGTCTCGATCTCCTAAAACCCGAAATCGACGATCTTAATGAACCAATAAGGGGGAAAACGACACGAGATTCCAGAAAGCAAACAAAAAGTGATTTTTAAGTCAGATTTTGGGCATTATTTCCGTGGACGGTTTCAAGGTTGGTCTCGATCTCCTAAAACCCGAAATCGACGATGTCAACAAACCAACAATGGGTAAAACGATACGAGGTTTCAGAAAGCAAATAAAAAGTGATTTTTAAATTAGCTTTTGGACACTATTTCCATGGACGGTTTCAAGGTTGGTCTCGATCTCCTAAAACCCGAAATCGACGATCTCAACGAACCAAGAACGGAAAAAACAATACGAAATCCCAAAAAGCAAATAAAAAGTGATTTTTAAGTTAGCTTTTGGGCACTATTTCCGTGGACGGTTTCAAGGTTGTTCTCCATCTCCTAAAACCCGAAATCGACGATCTCAACGAACCAATAAGGGGGAAAACGACACGAGATTCCAGAAAGCAAACAAAAAGTGATTTTTAAGTTATCTTTTGTTCCCCAACCGCGATTTCTCCTTTCTTCAGCGACGAGTTGGCCGTTTAAAGTCGATCGAATCCTCGAGATCCGATATGGCAACTGACGGGGATCGGAGGGGTCTAGAATTTTACTTTTTACGCGCTTTTCACGACAATTAGCACGGTATTTACTATAAACGAATAATTGTTTTGTAAGTCGGACGGCGTACGGTCGTGCAACTTGCACGCAATTAACTTTCTAGCCGCATTAATTCGATGGCTACGTTCGTTCACCTCGAGAAGCGACACCCGGTGACGCTGGCCAACAGATTCCATGGTATTCCAGACTCTGGACCGGATATCCGGTTTCGTAATCGCCCTGGAGCCCACAGAGGATCGCTATAATCGCGCCAATTCGGTAACATTGACGATTTAAGTAACAGGTTTCCTAAATCGTACCTCCGTTTAACCTCTTAACGCTCAAATTTCTTGGATCAACCAAGTAAGATCAGTTTTCTTTATTGGATTTGATTCTAAGCTGTATAAAAATGCGGTTTTTGTTAATTGTAATGTTTATGTAACGTATAATTTGAAGGAAAACAAATATTGTCATCCTTTAAATCGTTAGATTAAACAAATATCGTTTTTCAAAGCAGTCAGACTCGAGAGCATGATCGTTAAGGGGTTAAAGCAATAAATTTTTGGGTGGTAATAATACAAGATAAATGTTTTATCAATGCACATTCAATCGATAAATAAACAGAAAACAAGTACCTTATATACAGAGTGATTTTACGATCTGAAAATTTTCTGGCAAAAGATTATTTTTCTAGAAAATACAGAGAATCCTTGAAAATAACAAAGCACCCTAATGAGTTTAACGAACGTGAAATATTATAGAATGAATCTATTTTTACAAAAAGAGATCGTAAATATTAAAGATCCAAACTCAAAGTACCAAGATATCATTTGTAAATTTTTATTCTAACTTTTAAGTGGATTGTTTCACATATTGACTGTTAGATTCGATAATAGCGAACGTATCGGAGAGGTATGATTTAGGCTACCGGTACAGCTTAGGCAACTCTCGCCTGATCGAAGATTCGCGAGAGTCGTGCATGGCTTTTGTTTGTTTTGCAACAGTCGTTGCTCCTAACTGCAGCCTTCCGTGATAATTTTCCGATTAAACAAGAAAATTACGTCCAAACTGGCGATCGTGTGCCCGATTGCCAGCAAAAAGAGAACTCGAACTCACTTTCTAGCGAGTCTCTTCGGACCAGTTCGCGTCAAAATGCTGGCTTTAAAGGCGATCCGATCGAGAGTCGTCTCGATCCATAGAATCCTGAATCCTGAAAAAATGCCCCTGAATACGCGAGAGAAATCAGTATTTGCCAATAATCGGTGCCCCAGTTATATTTATTATTCGTTGATACATCCGATGTGAAATTTTATTTAAACGAATTCTACCCAGGGGCATTTTCACAGTAGAAATTTGTCTCTTTGCCCGTAAAATGTGCCTTGGGAATATTTATTAATCGATTCATGGGATGTAAAATCGTGATCGAGGTGAGATTTTTCAATGTTTACGATTGTTATATCTGAATTTGAACTTACGGTGGTGCCGTACCACGATGGACCTGTTGTGGGCGTCCTCGACTGAAAGAAAAACAGAAGGAAATTGCAGGCGAGCCTAGAAAAGAGGACTCGAGACTATTAATAATTGGTATTAAAATATTTGAAGATTCTAGTAATTTTATTATATCGTTGCTCGAATATTTGGACATTTAAACACTTAGAACTGGGACTATTCGAATATTTAACCAAATTATTTCAATATTAAAGTACAAAAAAATTCAACAAAGTGTACACAAAGTGTATGATGATCGATACGATGCAAGGAGTCTCGTATTAAAAGGAAAATGTCGGGAGAGAAAGCTGGCGCTTCGTTTTGCGTGAATAAAGAGACCATCGAAGTCAAGTGTTAAAAATACTGTAATTTACGACATTTTTTTTTGTCTCTTTTTAATACAGTATATTTACTGCTTGAATTCGTTTTGTTGGGATTGAAGTCGTCGAGACAGACGTTCAGAAAATTGAAAAGTTCGATTCGGTGGGAAACGCCAAGATCACGGATCGATTATACCCGTGCGAAAGAGGTGTTATTTGAAGCATGCGAAACAAATAATGGATCTTGTTTACGAGTATGAATCAGAACATGACATTATGTTGGATGAATAGTAATGATCAATTACTACAGATCTCTGGGCTTGTCTTTTTCTGCATTTCAATATTCCATTAAAGATATCGAAAATTATTATTATCAACGCCCACAATCGTTCAAGTACAAAAAATTGAATTCTTCGAATAGTCACAGTTCTACCAACAATGAGTGCGATCAGTGTCCAAGATCCAACCGCTAATCGAAATCGCATACCAGCGCGAATCGTTAAATCATCTAAATCCGTTTTTCCGCTGAAATAGATACGGGCTCTAGATTTATTGCTAAAACAAGAATTAATCGCGGCTCTAATGTATCAGTAATAAACTTGGCTTTGATCAAACGAGATTCTGCTTAACGTTCAACTGTCGGAACTTTTGATCCCGACGTCTTCGATCTCGCCTTCGGGCGACGATCAATCTCTACCACCACTTTCACGAACTATTACGCGCTAGGGTATAATAAAAGCGAACGCGTGCTGACGCACCGGCCCGTTGCGGCCAATCACCGGGCAACGATTAATTTTCACCGTGTAATTTGCAACTGTTATTATTAGTAACGCGCTGAACAATTTTATCATGGAGGGACAGTTTCGTTATTTTGGTCCAAACTGTACATTTTGTATTGTCTGAATTTTTTTTAATGGTACCTTGGTAAATTCTATTACAAAAATTTTGGAAAGATATTCTATGCAATTCTCTTTACGCTCGTTAGATTTATATAAGGCGATTTTAAGATTTTTTGTGGGCCCAATTGGACCCAAAATATGATTACATAGAGATTGTTATGAAGCTGTATTTTTTAAATAATTGTCAAAAAGGGACAAGAAATTGAGGGTTAGAGATTAAAATAAAATACTAAATTTTGTTTGAATCTCTTCCTAGGTCCCATTGGACCCACAATATAAATATACAGAGATTGGTATGAAGCTGTAACTTTTAAATAATTGTTCGAAAGGGGACCAAATATTAAGGGTTAGAGATTAAACTAAAATAAAATACTATGTTTCGTTTGAATCTCTTTCTAGGCCCAATGGGACCCACAACATAAATATATAGAGATTGATATGAAGCTATAACTTTTAAATAATCGTTCCAAAGGGGACACAAAACTGAAAAATAGACTAAATACACTAAATTTCGTCTGAACCTCTTCCTGGGTCAAATTGGGCCCAAAATATAAATATCTAGAGATCGTTAGGGAGCTGTAGCCTTTAAATAATCGTTCCAAAGGGCCCAAAAAATTGAAGAACAGAAATTAAACAAAAATAACACGCTAAATTTTGTCTGAACCTCTTCCCAGGCCCAATTGGACCCACAATATAAATATACAGAGATTGCTATGACGCTGTAAGCTTTAAATAATCATTCCAAAGGGGCCAAAGTAGTAAGTGTCTGAGATTAAAATAAAATAAAACACTAAATTTTGTTTGAATCTCTTCCTAGGTCCCATTGGGCCCAAAATATAAATATGTAGAGATCGTCAGGGAGTGCCCGATGGATTTTCTTTCTTCCCGCCGGTATGAAAGATCGTTGAGCCGCGATCATTGCGTGTCTATTCCCGACTGGTTGCGTAAGTTAAAAACAAAAAGTGGCGAACGACAATCGCCTAGGTGCACGCGGATACCGTACCTGGGTGCGTTGACCGTGTAAGGCCTGCCGGTGGTGGTCGGAGGCTGCGTGGTCGTCGTCAACGGAATGAACGTGTCCACGATGGCGTTCGGAGTCGTCACGTGCACGACAGGGTGGCTGAGCACGTTAGGTCTGAGCACACGCGACTCTTAATTAACAAATTGTCGAGAAACAGCGACGACGATTGCCGCGATTCCTCGAAGTGAACTTTCATTCGCCTGGGGGACCCAACCCAGAGTCCCATTTTTGCTCTATTAACCCTTAAACGAGCGCCCTGGAGGCCTACAGTCATTCTCATTTATCCAATGACTCGTTAACTTATCCACTTATGATCCCAAGTTTCTTCAACGAATCCTAATACCGTCATTTTCACTCGTTTTTGTATTCATCAGAAAGGATAAAGTTTTTAAGAAAGAACTATCGTTAATTTGGATGTGAATTTTTTGGGGGTCTGAGAAGAACCAATAATTAATGGGAGAATATTGTCAGCCTCCTCGATGATGAATACAAAATACAAAGGTTCTTTGAAGTGTATAGGCAGAAGTTTGATTTTGTTTTATTAAATTTGCCCGATTTCTCGCGTCTGGAAACAGCTGGTCTAAGCGAGCCGCGACTATTTTATTTTTACTGGCGATTAGATCGCCGACCTCGCCGGTTTACGTAAGCTCGAGCGGTTTTCGCACTCGATTTTCACGGAATAACGGAATAACGGAATAAATCTTAAGGACGCGTCGGCGTCATCTTCGTATTCTTACATAGAAACGTAATTTACGAGCATGGTCGATGAAAGCTCAAGGCGACGTGCTAGGCCAGTGGTTCTCAACTTTTTTTGAAATTTTATTCCCCCTTCGCGATCGCTATTAATATTAATATAATATAACAACGATGATTAAGCTTTGTTAAGATAGAAATCCTGTAGTTTATCTCTAGTAACATAAATAACGACAGAAAATGGATAATAATCCCTTAAAGTTTCTAATCTCTATGACCAACCATTTCGTATAATAATATTACTATATTTTTTTATTATGTTTCTCGACCCCCACTGAAATTGCGATTTATCGTTTCATCTAACCCATCGCGGCCCCCCCCGTAGAGGAGACCCCCGTTGAGAATCAATGGTGTGATCGCGGCAATTTTCTCGTCTCTCGAAACGTTTCGCGCTCGAGGTGCCATAAAGTTTCTGTTTTTTATCAACGAACGATCCGTCTCGATTAGGAAAAAAGTTTCTCACCTGAACGACTGGCCCTCGTTGATACGGAACTTGTTCTTGTTCAGCTGAGCCTGGGGGACCGTGCACAGAGAAGCAAAAAGATAACGAAATGTACGCAATTCGAAATCTTGGAACACAAGATTCTCTTTGTTAACGAATTAGGTTTGAAATTTTATTATCGACAGACGCTGAGCGTTCTCACCTCAAAATAAATCGCAAACTTAAATAATCTGTTCAAATTTAAACAAGTTTATATATGCAAAAGTAACGAAATCAAAGTTTCATCGAAAGATGGATGAGAACTTCTTAATTTCTAAAAGAGAAAATGTTAAAATTTAAAAATTGACATTTCAGTGAGTTGGAATAGATTTTTAAGTATGTCCCGCCCATTTCTAATCGCGAATACGGTTTCCCGTCCTACCTGATTCTCGTATATATCGTAGTCCTGCACCGTGACGTCCTGATTCAGATTGTACTTGTCCGCCTCGTTCACGGCGACCTTCTTCGGCTTCTGGTACTGCTTCGTGTTCACCTCGCTGATCTTGACGCTCGGCTGAACCGGCACCGATTGGTTCACGGTGTACTGGTTGTAATCTAACCGAGAAACGACGGATCACCGTGATTACGATCGTCTCCGAACGTCGCTGGATCCGTGAACTTGGATCCAGAAAAAGGGAAATTCTTTACGCGAATCTATAGGCTTTCCGAAATAAAAAATCTCGCGAAGAGGATCTTACGGACTAGAAAAATAAAATACAGGGATTTCTTTTCTGTAAAGGCTTATCCGCGAACCAGAGATACCGATTTCTCTCAGGAAATGGGTAACAGCTTACCGTCGTCTTTGTAAATGGACACGTCGTCGTCGTAGATCGTGTAATAGGGATAGCTCTGATCTGGATCATTGTAATAGGCCTTAGAGATCACGGGGGAGACGGTGGACGCCAGGATCTTCGCCACCCTGGGTGACTCGGACGACGGTACTTGAGTTCTGTGATTATAAACAAACCCAAAGATTTTAACACTAATTAAAAAAAATTTCACATAAATTATACTCTGTGGCTCTCTTTAAAAACACAGACACATAGAAATATTACAAATTTGCAAGTTAAGATAGAAAGATTCATTTACAAAAATAGCAAACCCCGAATATTGGTCATTCCCAGCACAGTACCGAACTATCATTAATAACTCGCTTATTGTCGCAATAAATTCCTCGAAAAAATTCACGAAACATCCACGCGAGTGCGTTGAATAGCACAAAAAATTTCAGTTTGATAGGTGGGGTGCTTCTGCGATAAAAAAAATCCGAAACGTGACGCGAGACACGAGGGTCTTAATGAAGATAGCCGCTCGTTTATCTCGAAATCTTGACGTTGACGTAACGTTATCCAACACGGCGTCATACAGTCTCTTCGAAGCTTGAAAAAAAGCCCCCGGATCGTTGCATAAGCACGAGGGGGGACAGCGAGCGAATCAAAGAAGCCCAAGGCGAAAGAGAAATCGAAGAAAAAGTTCGCGGCGCACGACGTGACTGGGTCGATCTTGTTTCAAAGCTGATTTTACGCACCTGTAATGGGCTTCTGTTTGGGCACGCGTGCTCACCAGACTCTCCTTCTCCCTTTCCTGCAACACGTTAATTGAGAAATTGATTCCACCGATGGTACGATTAATTAACTCGTTGATCACCAGCCGTGACAAAATCCAATAAAGAACGTTCGCCCCTAAATGTTTGCTCTTGGCCCCACAATAATTATTGCTTTTAAATCCAATGTGTGGTCACGCGTAATGTGCTCTAAAAACGTATTTTTAAACGTATGATCGATGGACTATTTAAATTTTAAAGTTATAAATAAATCTTCACCCCTTTGTCGCGATGTATTTAATTTCTACAATTGAAATTTGTTCTGTTCATCGAAACCCGTGTAAATTATTTGTATTTCAATGAATAATCGTAATAATATTAAATTAACAGCATCGTTGAATAAAGAATTTATAAATACGGTAAAAATTCGCTGAGAATCCTGGCGCTGGAAATAATAAAAATCAGACTTGGGTCAAAGTGGACTCGCGAGGTTTAAAGCAGTCGTTAAAGAATGTCTCCACGTTGTTTCTGAATTGCCTCGAAGTCAACCAGGCTGTTCTATCAATTATGCGAGTTTCACGAGTATTTCGATCGTAACCACGACATTTACGACGGCTACCTGGCAGTTTCGTTAACGCGATTGACCCTTTTAACGCCGTTCCGTTAATTGAAAGTGGTCGATTCCAGGAATCGACCGCGCCAATTTCGCCTCAGGTGCGATTTTATTATTATATTGCACCGCGAGCGAAAAGGTGCCTTCGTAAATTACGTATGGACGCGCTACACCTCGTGAACTTAATTACCGGAACAATATACGGGGTTTTCCATCGAGCTCACGCAGGTATATCGCCAATGGTCACTTCGAGGGACAGAACAGTTTTGGTAAACCGGAAACGTACGGAACAATAAAAAGAATTCGTGGAAATATGTGTCTTAATTGGTCTAATTCTATTACAGTAAATTATTTATATAGGATGAGACAGAATCTAGCAACGGGTGTTTCCTTATGAGGGGGAAAAATAAGAAAAAGCAAGGTTTAAACTGTTTCCATTTTTGGTTCTGTTTTTCACACAGAAATAATTTAACGACTCCTGTGTTCATCAGTTATTATCTTTTACAACCTTTTTCAGAGACAAAGAAGAGTGGAAACTCTGGAGATTCCTTTGGATCTAGGACCTAGGCTCTCTTCTGCGGTCGAAAGGGTTAAGAAGCAATTCAGCGAAGATGAAGGAGAAGGATGATTAACTCACCGCGATTACGTTTCTTCTGAGGCCATCTCTGTCCCGCTGCACCTGGCCAATCGTCGAGGGCTGTCCTCTGTAGACGCGTTGCTGTCTGTCGCTCTCGACTTCGGAGGCAGGCTCGTACTCCTCGTCGTGATAATTCCTAGCCTGTTGCCTCTGACGAATCTGCTTTTCAGTGATCTGCGGCAGAGGGGGTGGCGTGGTCGTGACAGGCTGCCTCTGGACAGGTCGTTGCTGTTGCTGTTGCTGTTGCTGCTGAGGCTCGCGTCTCTGCTGTTGCTGATCGCGAATCGGTTGCCTGTGGTGCTGATGATGGTGCTGCTGTTGCTGCTGCTGCTGCTGTTGCTGCTCCTGCAGGCTCTCGATCTTCGCCGACCTGAAATATCAAATCAAATCGTGGTTGGCAATTTATTCTTAATTTTAATTACTCGTACAAACACTTTCTTATTTTTTCTGGTGGATGGTAGTTTCAAATTTAATTTTCTTTGTTTTCTTAATCTTTCGTTCCATCATTTTTTTGTGTTTCTCGGGAACAGAGGTAATAGTTTTTAATTTTAGAAAATTTCCATTTGTGGTACAGAAGAAGACTCTCGAGCGTTTAAATTGATTATATAAATTTGCTTGTGCAAGACCGTTCGGTATCAATTAATCCGCGCTTTTCAGACGTAAGAAACCGACGGTATTTCGCAAAGGGGACAGATTGGATCGCGAATGAGAAAATTGGTAAGTTGCACGATCGAACGACGATGGTTGGAGGGATCTCTAATCGTTCGAGAGTTGTCAAAACGTTTAAAGAGTGTATACTCAATTTCCAAAGAATTCCTAAGCAATGCATTCTTCTGTCGATCCTAGTTCCACTATTAATGAGTATTCAAGTTGTACTCGAAAACTATGATTGATCAATTTCCAAAGAATTTCTAAGTAGTTTATTCGTCTGTCGATCTAATTTTCACCATTAATAAGTATTCAAGTGGTACTCGAAAACAATATTGGTCAATTTCCAAAGAATTCCTAAGTAGTGCATCCATTTTTCTGTCGATCCAAGTTCCACCAATAATGAGTATTGAAATGGTAGGTACACAGAAAGTATAATTGGTCAATTTCCAACAAATTTATAATCCTTGGATCCATTCTTCCATCGATCCAAGTTCTACCATTAATGAGTATTGAAATGGTACTCGAAAACAATAATTGGTCAATTTCCAAAGAATTTCTAAGCAGTGCATCCATTCTTCTGTTGATCCAACTTCCACCAATAATGAGTATTGAACTGATAGGTACACAGAAAGTATAATTGGTCAATTTCCAACAAATTTATAATCCTTTCATCCATTCTCCCATCCAAATGGTACTCGAAAACAATAATTGACCAATTTCCAAAGAATTTCTAAGCAGTACATTCTTCTGTCGATCCAATTTCCACCATAAATGAGTGCTCGAAAAGCAGATCCTTTGAATATTCGCGGAAAAGACAGTTCGATTAGAAGGGTGATCTCTGATTGGAGTGTATCGAACCAGTTTCGCCGAAACGCGTTCGCCACGAATGGCAAGGACGCCGACGCGGACGCGTCGAGACGAAGAGAACCGGCGTCCGTTGGGAAACCGCTTCTTTTCCCCGATTAGTAGCGGCACAATACGTTAATGAGCGACCGGCGACCGCCAGTTGCTTAACATTTACTTGCACAAGGAGGCCCAACGCTATCGTACTCTCTTTCGAGAAACGACGCACAGAGTGGGAGAGTTCATTGTAGACGAGCACTCCCGGTTATACAACGAATTCGTTTCCGCTTGATACTTTCGGCGAGCCGTTTACGCGCTGAGAATCGACGCGTAACTAGAATCCAGATCGAAACCCGGTCTTTCAAACTGTCGCAACGCTCGCGTGGAAACAAAAATGACTCGAGGAAATACAAATATTAAATCGAATTAAAAACACATCCTTTGGCTCCAACATTCTTCAGTTCGAGTACTATGATAATGTTTTCTCTTGGATCATTCATCCAACAACTCAGGATCTAAATCGACCCGGAATATTTCCATTTAGTACTTCGAAAAAACAAGAGAAAAATCATACAAATATTTGATCAAATTAAAAACACATTCTTTGGCTCCAACATTCTTCAGTTCGAGTACTATGATAATGTTTTCTCTTGGATCATTCATCCAACAACTCAGGATCTAAATCGACCCGGAATATTTCCATTTAGTAATTCGAAAAAACAAGAGAAAAATCATACAAATATTTGATCAAATTAAAAACACATTCTTTGGCTCCAACATTCTTCAATTCGAGTATTATGATAATGTTTTCTCTTGGATCATTCATTCAATAACTCAGGATTTAAATTGACCTGGAATATTTTCATTTAGTACTTCGAAAGAACAAGAGAAAAATGATACAAATATTAAATCGAATTAAAAACACATTCCTCGACTCCAACATTCTTGAGTTCAAGTATTATCACGAGCAAATAATGTTTCCTCTTGGCTTGATCATTCATTCAACAACTCAGGGTCTAAATCGACCCACAATGCCTCCATTTAGTAATTCGAAAAAACAATCGAATTACTCGCTTCGTCAAATTTTAATTAACTCAGCCCACGACTGTCCGAGATCAAAGTTTTTTGGTCCGGACAGTCGACTCGTTAAAAAGCGAGTTTCCAAGAAATGTATAAGCAGCGTGCAAATCGGGGAACATGCTCTTTTTTGCGACACGATCCAACAGTTATTGAGAAACGCAGTGTCAGAAAAATTCTCGCTCGACCGAGCCAGCATCGAAAGGTTTCACCTTCGAGTTTATAACTGTGAATACCGGTCGATCGACGCCTAAGCGTTTATTGTTCGATCCTTGACGTCACTGCTACCATTTTCTCAAGGTTCGCGTGCAGCCGGATCGTTTGTACGAACGTTTTCGAGCGAAAGAAACGCTTCGATCGTCCGCCGTCTCGATCTCTCGATCGCCCAGTTTTCTTTTCTCCCCCCCTCTCTTTTTTCATCGAGAAATTCGAACGCGGAGTCGAATATCGAAGGTTTCGTAATCGAGGCTCGAAATCTTGAGCAATCGACGGACGTCCGGGCGACACGGATCGATGGATCGCGAGACGTACAGTACGTTTCCTGAATAACTTTCGGCGGGTCGAAAGGAAAGCAGATCGTGATCGAGAACAGTTCTGCTCCGAGTAATTACGATCGTCACGATGTCGAGGATTGAATCAGAAATCGGATCGATAAGAATTTCTTCGACGTTTCGAGCCTGTAAACCGTAATTATGCAATTTGTCTGGAGCGTAATCGCGCTGTCTGAGTTAACATTCTCGAGTTTAAAATATGCTCTTTTTGAAATCGGAGTCCGCAGGATGCGGTGGGACCAACTGGTCGCCATATTTGTTGAATGAAACGGACGAAGCTTGGAACTGGAAGTATTTGCATAGATTACTGAATATTATTATTCAAACTTCATTATTTCAATATTATTTTATTCTCTGTAGACTCTGTAAATTGTGTATGTTCAGCAATAATTATTGTACTCCATTTTTGTACGCTGTTGATCTTGATTAGAAATCTTGTTCATAACATGTCAGTTTGTACTTCATTGTACACTTAAGGGGTTTTATAAGTATTTGTAGATAAATAAATTATTCGAAGGTTAGATAGTATTTGAAAGTTAGGAGACAAAGTATTACAACTCTCGATATATTATGATAATGAATGGATGTTGGGGTTCATCGATCTCCGTGTAATGGTTACAAACAACAAGTCCCAGCATCGAAAACTCACCTTTCTAGCAGCGGGTCTTCTTCCGTTTCCTTATTGGGGGATCCGCCTCCGGGGCAGCCCACGTTCCGCGGCCAATCGCACGTCTGCAATTCGTGGCTGCGAAAAGAAAAGCGACACGGTCCCCATTAGTATCGATATTGTTCTTCGTGGCTATTTTTAGCCAAAGCAATCGCGATTTGGAAACCATTTGCCTCCACAATTCACACCAACGCAGCATCCTATGCTCGATCTTTGAAAAAATTGATAAATGGAATGCCTTGAAATTTGCCACAACAAACATTCTACCTTTACCATCAACTTTAACATTTTAACTTTGGTTACATTATCCATATATAACAGGACTTTTCACTATATGGAGCTAAAACAATTCTCAAGTTGAAACATCGAAGGAAACAAATTTGAATAGGATTTGTGAAGTTCAACATTTGTAAACTTAACAAATCTTAATTTTAGTTCGACTTTCGATATATTAATTTTGATAAAATATCTATAAGAGTGATTTTACAATGCCCCAACAGCTTCCAAACTTTTTAACACTGTATCATAGCATCCTCCATGTCATCTTGCGGTTCACAAAGTTAAAATATTTTATAATTCGCCAATTCTGAGAAAAAAATTTGCCAAATCGCTGGTCCAGGATGCAAGGCACCCTAAAAAATTGTCAGGAACCGGAAAGAACGACCGATTACTTCGATTTTCGAACCGTGAACAGAAATAAAGCGTTCGGGGAGACGTTCTGTTTCGTTGGTCACGCGGAAAAGAAAGTTTCAACGCCTTCGTCGGAGATCGAGGATCGGATCTATGGTTGGGTGTCGTTCTCCGGAGGATTTTCGATGGGACTGAATTTAGAATCGCGTCCCAAGCTCGCGAGCATCCTTAATTGGACACGACGTTACTATTGGGTACCTTAGGCTACGCTGGCCGGTTTTACAACCAACTAGTTTGTGCACTGTCGTATCGGGAGAGGTGTGGCATGTTGATTTTTTTCACCAGGGTTATGCGTGCCGGCTACGACCCCCTTTTACCGCGCAAATCCAGATCGAAAGTGCTCCAGGATCGTAATCGTGCCCCCCAGACCCCCTCACCCTGATCCAAACTCGACGTTACACCCTCAGTATCCTACCTAGATCATTTGATTCAGAGATCTCGAAAATAATAATCGTAATTTTTATTTGCAAGGGACGTTACTCAGGCGAGTGATTAATAATGGAAGTTATAGTATTTTGTCTTTTGGGAACTAGCGAAAAATGGCGTCGATGTCTGTCTTGAATCGAACCAAAATTGTGCAATTTTCTACAAGACCAAAGCTTTGATTTAAAATTTCTTTCAGTACTTATTTGTTTACAAATTTTCTTCGACGTCTTGACTCGAGAATTTTGTTTAAATTTCACAGTGAAAAGTCTATTTAAGGAAAGAACGTTACTCGGGCGAGTGATTAATAATGGAAGTTATAGTATTTTGTCTTCTGGGAACTAGCGAAAAATGGCGTCGATGTTTGTCTTGAGCGGTTCAGAAACTGGAATCGAACCAAAATCGTGCAATTTTCTACGAGACCAAAGCTTTGATTTAAAATTTGTTTACAAATTTTCTTTGACGTCTTGACTCGAGAATTTTATTTAAATTTCACAGTGAAAAGTCCATTTAAGAAAACATTCTCATCGACAGTTCGGACATTCGTGACGATTGAAATAGGTCAGCTTTGCATACAATTACGCGGTAAAGTTTTTACTACTTCCGAATTCTAGCGTCCAGGGTCGCCGGTAATTTACGATCGAAATTCAAATTTGCTACGTGTTAGATCTAATCGCGGGGACCGTGTTCCGCCGGGTCGTTCACCTTCCGGTCCCGCAAATCCCGCGAAACGGTGGACATCCACGCTCGATCGTTAATTCGCGCTAGTAAACTGATTATTATTCCAGCTTTCGACGACCTTTTTCCTGTCGAACGCGGGGAAACAGGTTTCCACGATCGATTCTAACGCCTGGTTTCACTCTCGATAAAAAAAAAAATACTTAATCTAACATTTTGTCACGGTACAATTTATTACTCCAACGTCTATTTCTCTAAGCTCTGCCAGATTTGTTTTTCTCGACCTCCAAGGTTCGCGGGGAGTATTAATTCGTTCAGTTCCTCGATGGAAACTACGCTGGGGAATTTCGATGAAAGAAATAGAAATCTTCGCGAAGTCTTGCGATACCACGGGCCCCTGGGAACAACGGAGAACAGATCCATTAAACTTGTCTATATTCGGACGACAATGCGTCGCGTTTCGCTTTCGATTCGACGCCCCCGGTATTATTTGCTCGCATTTCGACTCAGTGTGCTTCGTTGCTCCCATATTAGTCGATCGGTCCAGGAACGACGTGGATCGTTTCCACGATTCTGTTCGAAAAAGAAGCGTTTAACGGGGTCGCGTGTGTCTTCGCGATCAATTATCTAATTATCCACGGGGACGGATACGCGACAGTACTTACAATCGCGCGAGAACCCATTCTGTATGGCGACACTTGCTACGCTCGACACCAGAGGGCTACGTTCTTCGCTCTCTCACAAGTACTCGATCGTTCACTTATTTGTAAATATATGAACTCCTCGATTGTTATTAAATGTCTCGACAACCCTGGTAGACTCTATTCTGTACGATATTCTAGTACACTTTGAAAGAAAAAGGACATTCAATGGATAGTCAAGGAGTATAGATACAGACAAGGTATACGAGTAATTAGGCTTCACATGTAAAGTTTTTCTCACTTTACGGGGTTAAGGAATAAGTTATCGAACACTCTTAGATTCTGTAAATATTCTTCATGAAAATACGCGTTGTTTGCCTTTTGAAACATTAAAATCCTCCAATCCGTTCAGGAGTTATGAAATTTCAGGGGAATCAGGGGTTCAGACATTCATGGTCAGACATTATATTTTATTTTCGGTAAGGAATTTTTTTCGGGAAAATGGTTAGGAATTCGGGGGTATCTTTATTGACCAAAAATGATTACAATTGACCCTTGCAGCCGAAAATAATTTTTTCAGAATGATTTATCGATTTTTTTTTTAAATTTGTTTTTCATTTTTAATAAATTTATTTGACCCCGTACGGAAATGTTGTTTAATACTTTTTTGTAGATATCCATGAGTTCTACTTCCCAAATAAATTTCAATTAAATACAGTAGTTATAATATGGTTTCCAATTGTTTAAAAACAAGGTTTCTTTTTCGCTGGGCAATATTTCGCTTTCAACTGCCAGTGTTGACATTATTGAGGAATTTCAAATATGATACGCACCTGTACATCAAACCTCCCGTGCACGATTCGAGCAGAGCACCCCCGAAGACGCATACATAGTACTGGGTGCAGTCGCGTGGATGGGGGTAGTAACCGAACTCTTCGGGGCACTCGAACTCCAAGGCAGCTTCGTTTCTGCTCGCTCTGGCGCTCCTCGGGATGGTCCTCTGGCATTCTGCGGGACACAAAAAACACACACGGTTCATTTACACTGAAAAATAAAACTTCCATACGGTCGACGTTTCGTCAGTGTCGTTAAATAACCATCGATTATGTCCTGTCGGCGGGAACGGGAACGGGAACGGTTCTCGCGTCGCGAATGGAGCGAAACCAGAATGCTGCGGGCACGGCGGGACGGGTAAAACGCGGAGAGTGAAAAAAAAGTTACCCAGACGGGGCGAGAAACGTTCTCGAGTGCCTCCGCGGGGCGCGTCGATACAATGTGAATTATGAACGGACAGCCTTCGGTTGTATCTGGTATCGGCATATGGATCGCCGTTCTGAAACGTGAGCGGCGTACGGAGCTGGACGATTGCGCAACCGGAGAACCGTGTAACCGGATTTTTGGTCGACCTTGCGTCGTCGGCGCGTACACGGAGCACGAGAAACTCGACCAGAGACGGCGATTGCTCGCATAATCCGCGGTCTGGATCGCCAAAGCGACGACGCCTCGAGGGCACGAGCGGGGATCGAAAGACTTGGCGCCAAATTTTTCGTAATTCCGAGACGACTTCGATTTATCGAATTAACTTGCACTTTCAAATGCGATAGATGTGCACAAAATCGTGTTTAGTGTTAATTCATTGAAATAGACAAGGTATTCTTTAGACACAATTTGAAATAATTACTCTAAAGTGGGAGATTCTTAACCCCCCCAACGCTCATATTTTTAGGGTCGACTTAGAATGATCAGTTTTTTTTTATTGGACTTGTTTATAAGCTATATAAAAATGTGTAACGTATAATTTGAAGGAAAATAAATATTGTCATCCCTTAAATCGTTGGATCAAACAAATATCATTTTTGGAAGCAGTCAGACTCGGGTATTAGCGTTAAGGGGTTAAATGGAATCCTATAGTTTCCAATAATCCAATGGTAGTTAGTTATTAGGTTATGTTGCACCCCCTGAGAGCATGCAATTTTTGTACCATATATTTTTCATATGAAAACAAAATTAATATAAAGAAAACATGGGGTACGATAATGGATAATGTCGTAGTGGAGGGTAGTTATTTTTTGGGTTATTTCACACCTCCTGAGACTATGCAATTTTTGTAGAATATTTTTCATATATGAAAACAAAATTAATATGAAGAATTCAGGGGGTACAATAATGGATGATGCAGTAATGACTAGTAGTTATTTTTTAGGTTATTTCACACCTACTGAGACTATGCAATTTTTGTAGAATATTTTTCATATATGAAAACAAAATTAATATGAAGAATTCAGGGGGTACAATAATGGATGATGCAGTAATGACTGGTAGTTATTGTTTAGGTTATTTCACACCTCCTGAGACTATGCAATTTTGATACAATATTTTTCCTATAAAAACAAAGTTAATATAAAGAAACTAGGGGGTACAATAAGGGAGATCAAGAAATCACTTCCCCCTTTCGATAAAATTAAAAGAAATTTACGAATTTAAATCGTCGAAAGAGTGTAATTTTGATTGAGATCGAGGGGAATTAATATAAAGAAACTAGGGGGGTACAATGAGGGGAATCAAGAAACCACTTCGCCCTTTCGATAAAATTAAAAAAAATTTATGAATTTAGATCGCTGAAAGAGTGTAATTTTGATCGAGATCGAGGGGAATTAATATAAAGAAACTAGGGGGGTACAATGGGGGGAATCAAGAAACCACTTCCACCTTTCGATAAAATTAAAATTTACGAATTTGGATCACTGAAAGAGTGTAATTTTGATCGAGATCGAGGGGAATTAATATAAAGAAACTAGGGGGGTACAATGAGTGAAATCAAGAAACCACTTCCCCCTTTTGATAAAATTGAAAGAAATTGACGAATTTGGATCCCTGAAAGAGTGTAATTTTGATTGAGATGGAAGGGGAATAAATAATATTTGCAGCATCGTTTGCAAAACGCGGGAACGGAGACGCGTTGCGTGGCGTTTGTAGCGTATTGCGGCGTCTGGCCGCTTCGTTACGCGGTAAATAGCACGGTATCGTTGAAAACGGTTTCTGCGTGCCGGCATTGTTTCGCCCGGCAGCGGATTCGATTATCCCACTAAAGCTCTTTCTGGCACAGAGTCGGTATCGTGGGACCGCGGACGCCGCGCCAGCGAACGACGAATTGATTTGTTGGAAACGTGACTTGCGCCATTCTTGGGCCGCACTTTCGACGTGAGAATATGTCTATACAATATAACGCCATTCCTTCGCCATCCCCGGCGAGCTGGCCCGTTTATATGTAAATCATTTTTCCGCGTCGATACCCGGTTTACGTAACCACGTTACGCTCCACTTTCGAGGACACTTCCGAAAATTAGTCGCTTTATAAATTAATCGACTGGCCTCTGTCGAGAATAATTTTTATATTTTTCTTTGGGTAGTCTGTATGGGTTAGATTCCATAGAAGCTGAAGATCGAGTGAAAATAATTATCTCGATAAAAAGATGGAAACTGGACCCTCGAAGCTCGATGTTCGAACGTTCTCAATCGCTTGTTAGTTTATCGTGTTAAATTCCAGGGGTTAAACGACAGAAGCACTGCGTTCGAGCATTTCTGGGTCACAGTTTTTGTGCTCGTAGGGGGAACTGAAAGGCGCAGTGAAATCATGGAAGTCGGACCACGCGTTCCTTTGGGTTCCCATAAGCGGCCAGGGAACAACGGGGCGATTGCGTAATTGTCATTAGCGCGTCTGACGCGACCAGCAATGAAATTTAGCGTGCCCATGGGAGCTCTGGGACCGTTCGAATAATTAAATTGCAATTTTGTATCCTCGAGAGCAAAAAGTTTTACTCGTAGGTCCATTTTGACCATCTAAATCATCAGTTACATTCTTCCTATCGTTTACTTTCACAAATTAGTGAAACTTGAAACTGTACGATCCTGGAATAGACAGATTTTAAGTGTTAAAATGGTCCTGTGAGCATTGAAATCGTTAACTATTCGGATCACCCGAGTTATTCGAGCGCAGAAACGTCGGCGTGGGTGGACGGACGGCTAGAATTGGTCAACATCGAGTAAGTGGAAATTGTCTCGACTTCGGTGGGAAGGAACGGTTTAAGCGGGAACGCGTAGACGAGGCTGATCGCCAGGAATGCGACTAATTAGATCAAGACCGGTTGATCGAGGGATCGATATCGAGCTCTTTCGAAACACCGAATCACCCTTGTCTCGTAGGGACAATCGCAACAAAGAGCTGTTTTCTATACGTGATTCCAGCCGCGGTTTCAACACTCCTCGTATTAGGTCTGTCGACCCTGAAACGCGTCGTTAAGCACACCGGGAGTATTTCTAATACAGAGACGAGCGAAATTCCTATCCGGATACGTTTCACGCAAAAATTTATATGGCTTTACTCGAATTGCAAGAAGTGTGTGTGTTTGGGCTGTGGAACCGTTGGCGTCGATCATGTTTAGTCTAAACTAGAGTAGGTATTGAGCTGTTTAGGTTCAAGCTGAAATACGTTCGTGCGTTTTGTTTAGATCATTATTATAAGATAGGAATAAGGAAGGGTCGAGTTTGACTGTAGGAACTCTGTATCGAACGTTAGTCGAGAGCAGTCACAGTTTTACGTTTACGTTTTATGTCCTTCTTTTATGTTCTTCATGTTAAATAGTAAATATTAAATAGTATAGTTTATATAGTTACTTTGACTGTCTACGAGTTCGAAATCCTCGACAATCCTTACACAATAAAATTCTAATATCTGCATTCTGCATTGAGGGACCAAAATTTAGAAACGAGGGTAGGTGTCATACCCATGATTAATCACTAGAAATGGGAGCTTCACGGAGGGTTGTTTCAACCCCTAAATACAGTAATTCATATCTTACTTTATTTCTTATACTTTTAAAAATAAAAATTTCCCATCTATTAATCGCGTATAAAATTTCGTACAAATTTTTCCAGCAATATCACCACAGGTTGTGATTCGAATAGAAGCATTTTTTAATCGTTTTATATCTTTAAATATAGAATTCGTTGTGTATTGTGTTTTTACATGTATTCTGTGGGTTTTGATTTTGTGAAAAGAATTAGAATTCCTTAATTCCCGTGACAACAGTGCGTTGGATTTTTGCGAACCGTGCGCGAAGTCATGCGGCAAGGGTTCGACGTACGTTGGAGATTTTCTTTTCCCGGCAGCGCAAAAACTGGTGACCTGGTTTATTACCGCGACGGTACTTTCTATTACCGATCCAACGTGTTTAGAACGAACAGCCCCCGCGTAAGTATGCACATCGTGGAAGCCACGCCGTTTCCAACTGCGCGATTCGCGGATCGGACATTATTCCCGCCGAGACGTCGAACGACAAATCAACATTTGCCAAAGTTGAACGATGCAAAGGGGAACGGGGGACACTTGTGATTATAATTTAAGTGTTTCTTCGTATCATCGATACCTTGAATGTTTGGTAATCGTTGCAGTTTTTCTTTGTCATTCTAAATTCTGTTCTAAATGTATACGTTCACGTTTGACACGTTGGTCGGTTTCGATTATTCGAACGACGGAAAAACGCAACGATTCAAGAAATTGCAAATCCCCAGCGCGAACATTGCGTGGAGGTTTCGTAATGTGGCTGCAGAAATTCCATCAAGGATTACTGTCACCGATCATTATTGCACGCGATGGCGCGAATGGATTATAGGGCCATTTTTCAGGAACGATTTTAAACGTAAAATAAGGTGGAAATTAACCCTTCGACGCGAGTTTATGGGGGAAAAAAGAATTCGATAATGTCGAAATATAATCTTATCGACGTATAGACAATTTCGTTGTATATTGGTACGTGAAAAAGCCACTCGATTCCGTTGTTTTTGATTTTCTTATTTTGCACGATCCTTCCATTGAAAAATTGCCCACCCGTGGTTAAGCATCCTGTATAGCAATCATGCGTCGATGCGGATGTCGTCGACTCGAGAACTCATCCAGTGACATTGAAAGTAGCTATGGCACGCAAACCGCCTCGAGACATCTTGTGTTA